ATCTAACGATGCAACCGTTGGCACAAAGATTATTGGGAGTTTCTAGGTTCTAACATCAAACATGAGACCGTCTATTCTGACTTAGAGTGTCGATATTTACATCAGCCCTTCCAGGATAGTGTTTTACAACAGGCAACGACCATTTCGTTTCAAACACGTCCCACCCATCATGTGCTTTGTTTCGCGTTCTTTGCTCACCGTGCAAGACTCTAACGCATACAGGGATGGTTATGTCTGTCTGGCCGTTCGTGTATTTCATCTCGACATAAAAGGTTAAAAAAAAGGGTACAGCTATCACTATAACAGGCCATAGAGGCCCACAGGGTTGCGAGACGTCGAGGCTCCAACATTTTCTAGAAAATCCGCTCACAGATGGCGGTGGAGTCAGCTTTAGCGCCGGCCGCTTTTACCCCCCATGAAGATTCATGGTACTCATTTCTGTTAGAGGCTGAATCAGCCCCAAGACCACCGTATGGCTGGAAGGTTTAGGTCAACTGAAAAACCCAATGATCACATCGGAAACTGAACCCGCGACCTTCCGGCTTGTAGCATAGTGCCTTAACTAACTACGCTACAACGTGGCCCCGACATTACGACATATTGGATGATATCTGATATGCACGTTATGGTAGCATCTGTTTGCTGCTTACTTACTATTTGACCCTGAAGATGGAGGCTTATGTTCCGCCGAAAGGCTTGTGGTTTCTAGACGACTACACAACGCCACATCGTAAGAGAGAGTCCTCTTAATACCCGCAGTATTCATGGTAAAACAGGAGCATATTAAAATATCAGAATAAGGAAATATTCGTATGGTAGTTATTCGCGTGAAAAGCACAGAACGCATGGCAGGGTCACCGGTTGCAGCCCTAGTGCGGGACGGAGGGACGGAAGTGACACAAACTTACCAAGGCCCTGTACATCCTACAATCCTTATTGCAGTTAGAGGACTCGACCAAGTCCACTGCGCATCTGCTCAGGGCGGCAAATATACGCAGAACTGCAACTTTACATTCCTGTTCTTCTAACGATGTTCAGCTCTCCTGTTTCTATGCCCCAATGTTTTCCGACCTTCTGTAAAGGTGGGATATTCTGATGACCTTGACCACGTCACGAACTTCATTTATGTTTGCAATACTGCAAAAACTGTTATTTAACTACTCACTTGCTTCAAGGTTAGTAGTGACGGTGAGTTACGATATGGTCATATTTGTTTCGTAACAGCAAATGTGAGGTGCGTGGCGCGGCCTTTCGCATGTTTCCTCAGTGTCCAGACGGTCGCTCTCTGCTTCAGCCCATCAGGGGAGCAGTCCTGTAGCCATGCATGTCTACAGGACTTTCTTTTGAGACGGGTCGCTATTCCTGCCCCATATCAAATGTAAAGTTGTCCCTGTACTTAACTAATTAAGCACTATGACATGAAGGCGTATAGGGAAATGGATGTATATATCCACGTTTTCTTCACTTCCACACTAGTTGGAGGTGAGCGGTCAGCTTCACGCCCCAGCCGCTTTGCTCCCAGGGAAATAGCACACGACATGGATTCGATAGGAGGTTGGGTGGGCCTCAGAGAGCGTCTGCACAACGCGAATAAAATTCTTGATCCTACCGGGACTCGAACTCCGAACCCTCCGTCGTCCAGTTAATAGCCAGTCGCTATACCGACTGCGCTATCCCGGATCCTGTAAATGTTTCGGAGACATTTTTATTTGGACCCGTGTTTCGCGTCGCATCATCACAGAAACAATGAAGACAGGCACAAGTGCTCTGTGCCCTTATCTATTAATGCCTGAAGCAATTACTGCCTCTCTTCGCTAACTGCGAGGGGTCAGGTCTCCGAAAATAAACGCAGACCAACACTAACGTGTTGTGAGAAATCGGGGATTACGGACATCACAGCCATGGTTTACACCTATAGAAACCTAAACTAAACACAAAACATACCTTACACAATATAGAAATAAATTATTACACGAGCATTCGGCAGAAGAAAATAGTCATTAAATACGTAAGTCTATCACGAACTCATTCTTTATAACAAACAAACAATAAATTCACACAAAAGTATCCATTGTTAGGTTATGACAAGAAGTAGAAATTGTATACTGAATGAACAATCATTGGGTGTTAAGGCTTCAATCTTCACAAACTGAACTAAACTAAACCAAACTAAACCAAGTAAAGTAAAGCTATCCCTGTACCAGGCCGTGAAGGCCCAAAGGGTTGTGAGACGTTGAGGGTCCCACATTATCTAGACAATCGGCTCAAAGATGGCGGTAAGGTTGTCAGCCTTACACGCCGGCCGCGCTTTACTCCCCAGGAATATTCCTGGTACTCATTTCTGCTAGAGGCTAAGTCGACCCCAGGGCCATAGAGCGGCTGGAAAGATTAAGTCAATTGAAAAAAAATCCAATGACCTCATCGGGACCTGAACCCACGACCTTCCGGCTTGCAGCATAGTGCCTTAAACCTGAAACTAATCTACAATAGAAGTAAATACACTCCAGAAACTGAATCTGTTTCCATCCTCAGGTGAAGAGCGGGCAATCCCCACTCTGTTCGTTCCATTAGAAAGAGCTAACCTCAATCAGTGAACAGGTTAGCTCTTTCTAACGGACTCAGCTGAGTGGACGCCCCACACCCTCTCTTCCGAGGACGCAAGTAGATCCAGCTTCCGGCATCCGGCTTTCGGAACGCTGTGTTCTTTGAATATAGAACAATGGACAAAGCCCAAAAACCCAATAAATGCGAGAGTTATACATCGTCGTCAAACCCTTCAGAATCTATTTGTTCCCTACATGCTTCACACTCGCACTGTAAAAGGGAAGAGAAATCTCATTTTAACGCAGTCTAAACTTAGACCAGACTTTTGTTCTTTTTCACGATTATGCTCTCGAGGCCATGGCTGCTTGCTAACTACCATCGCTCGAAAATGTACTCATAAAATCACGCCTGTTTAATCAGAAAACGTATTGCACATACGAGGTACCATCGGAAAGTTCCCGGAACAGGTCAAAAAAGAAGTGCTGGCTTAACTTGCTCAATTTTGGCTGTCATCTCCTTCAAAACAGTTTCCTTGGGAACGCATACACGGATCCCATTGTTTCCCCACGCTTCAGAGGCACCGTGAAAGTCACTTCCCTCAATGCTGTCGAGTGCCGCTTGTGATTCCCTTTGGATGTCAGACTCGGTTTCAAAACGTCGTCCCTTCAGTTGCATTTTCAGTTTGGGAAACAAAGCTAAATCACAGGGGGGCTAAGTCCGGCGAGCAGGGACGATGGGAAAAGGTATCCATGTTGTTGTTAGTCACAAACTCTGTAGATTTCAGGGACGTGTGGGGAAGCGCGTTGTCGTGCTGAAGGAGCAATGCGGCGCATGTTCAGATTTTCTGTTATGATCTCCTGGCAAACTCCAGGGGTCAGTTTACAGTCCCTCATATACTGCGATCGCGAGTTCGAATCCCCACACGGGAGTGGAAGGTATGTCTGATTCGGTGTTTCTAGAGAAATTCACAGCGTACCTCTAGACAGCAGCACTGCTCAGTGGATAGTGTTATACCATCAAGATGTAACTGTCTTTCGACAGTTTTTTAAAGTCACTGGGGTTAGACGTTTCTGATTAATTTTGTTTTATAAGTAAGAAATTTCGCGTGCTTTCTGGGGGATTTTATGCTTCTAGTTCATTAAGGATTGTGCTAACAGCAACAATGGTCTCTATGCTTGTTCCATCTGAAGAAATGAAAACGGCGATCCCTTCACAGGCACTAAAAAACTGCAATGGTACGGACTTCCCCTCCGGTCGCAGTATCTCGTGGCTACGCACTACTTACACTTGATATCAACGTGAGCAAGTCTACAAGCTTGGTAAGGTAAAGGTAAAGTTACCTCTGTGCTTAACTAATTAAGCATTATGCAATGAGGACGTATGGGGGGGTGGATGTACAGATCCAAATATTCTTGACCTCAGCACTAGTTGGAGTGATGGTCAGCTTCACGGCACGGCCGCTTTACCCCTTGGGAAAGAACCCTCGGCCGTCCAGCCGGTAGCCAGTCGCTATACCAACTCGGGCCTTCCCGGCTCGCTTCTTTCATTTGGACGATAGTTAAAAGTCTGGGTTGGAGAGGCCGTGAAGGGAAGCTCAGAGAATGGTGCAATAGTGTTCCACTCCCCTCCAGGCCCCATCCGGGTCACCGGTCCCTAGCCACTACCTACACTCGGGGCAACACATTGGCCAGGAGACCGGAGGGGAAGACATGGACGTACCCTAGAGGGAGAGGCCGTACCATAGCAATTGGAAGATGGCTTTTCAATGTGAATGCCTGTGTCCAGTCCCAGATGAATTGTCCATGGTGGACGAAATGACACTGAACTAGTTTTTCTCAGACTTCTTTCGGTTTTTCTACTAATCAATATCCCACCACTGCCCCATAACCATCTACCATCAACACGCGAAGTGTCTGACACCTCTGACCAGGCAGCATATTATCATATTCTCTCAATTTAAAATTTCGATTTTCTGACCTGCATTTGGATTGCCGCAGTATTTCAAGTACGTTTGAAGGGAGAAGGGTAAAAAGTAAGTAAGTAAGCTATCCCTGTAACAGGCCATGAAGGCCCACAGGGTTGTGAGACGTCGAGGCTCCCACACTATCTAGACAATCGGCTCAAAGATGGTGGTAAGGTTGTCAGCCTTACGCGTCGGCCGCGCTTTACTCCCCAGGAAAATGATTTAATTAATTCCTGGTACTCATTTCTGTTAGAGGCTGAGTAAACCCCAGGGCCTTGTGTGGCTGGGAGGGTTAGGTCAATTGAAAAAAATCCAATGACCTCATCGGGACTTGAACCCGCGACCTTCCGGCTTGTAGCATAGCCCCTGAACCAACTACACTACCGCGTGTGAAGGGAGAAGGGTACAAGGTCAAAAGAGAAGTACAGGGGTTCGGCAAATGACACTTAATTCTGTGGCGCTAGTATAGAAGGGAGGTGGATCTGGTACTCACATCGCTGGCATCGGCCGCCTGGTAGAGGTAGCAGTAGAGCAGTGGTTCCACGGTGTCCCTAAGCAGGTACATGAAGGTGCACTGGTTGTCATACGTATGCGAGAACCTAATGATGTTCTGCAGGGAGTGCTGAAACATGACGGCCGGAACTTGCTGCCCAGATTCCGCGACACCCCGGCTGAAGGCGTGTACCTGGCCGTCCCGAATGCCCAGGGAAACCTGCAACCAGATCAAAGCATGTAAATTTACCGACTGATCTCACATCAAATACAATTCAATATAAGAACGGCGTGATAGTTTCAAACTCCTTTATATCACAGCATTAAGGACCAGATACTTTTTTACGTTCCATCTTACTCTTTGTAGTTCATAATACTGTAGCGTGTAGTACTGTTGCTATATAACGATCGCGAGAAGGAACATGCCTTGGTTGGTAACGGTCAATAAACGTCAACAATATCCGGGCTATCCCTAGGCAACCGCTAATAACAATAATAGGAAAACTGCCGGAAGGGGAAATTTTCTGCTTGGTCCGACACCAGGCTGTATAACAAGGACACCTCTCGTAAAGCAACTGAGGGGGTTGCCCGTGTGGAGGCGGGGTCGAATACCTCCACCGTGAGCCTGCGAGTCGTAAGAGGCGACGAAAAGGGAAGCCTCAAATCTGAGACAGTAAAATATGGTCTCGAGTCCCAAGGAACCCAGACTCGAGAAAGACTGCATTGGCAAGGGCCAGCAGCATATACAAAAGGCAGACGCGTCCTCTCATCAGAGAGGGCGCCCCACAGAAACAAGACCGTAAATGCCAAACACTAATAAATATCTGGTCATGAGCCCCAGCCGGGGCTCAACACCAAGACTTACTGACTGACTGACCGTCAGTCGCAATGTGACTTGGACTTGGTAAAGCAACTTTGACGCCAAGACTAACTGATTGACGGTAAACCGCCAGTCGTAAAGTAACTCTGACTCTGACTCTGACTAAAGCAACTTTGACTGAGAGAGTGGAGTTGCGGGATATTCGCCGCACAGTAACGACGTGAGCACAGAAGCTGGAGAATCTTCCTTGTTGGGTTCCGTTACCAGAAAACGACTAGTGAAACCAAACTGAGAAGACTTAGCGTGTGAAGTAGTGATTTGTAAAGCGTGTGGATTAGCGATAGCGTTATAATTACTTGTAGTTCCCAGTGCTGTGTGTAAATGGCCAGTAAATCGAGTCACCAATCCAAACCCTGTCTAAAGTCAAGTCATACACGTAACAATATGCTCACACCACCTTTTGCAAATATAACTCTTAGAATAATAATAGTTCGGCTGAGGACTGGTATTTTGGGTTGTACGGACATGTGGATTGGAGAAAGGCCGACGTTTCAGGAGAAACATATCGCCGCAATTTGAGTAAGCCTAACAAGAAACCAGCAGACAGGGGCAGAAGCTGTGCCGTGAGAACATTAAATCCAACACAACATCAATGGAATTCAATACCGACATTCTGCATGGTGACGGACACTCCAAGAACAATAAACATTGTAAGGCGTAAGTCTCCAACCATGGACAATTTCACAGCTGTCTCACAGCTGTTACAAAATATGCTCAGTAAAGTCATCACTGACAAATATCCGTTTAAGTATGGTCCTGTTACTCTACCATTATCATCTGTAAAGAGTGTGAACAGATCTGACAAACCGGGATATTAACTTTGACTTAGCCCAGCGTGGGGTTAATGGTCCGGAATGAATTGACGAAGCATCGGGGCGAAGGTACACCAAGGAAGCTGGCAACTGCAACGCAACCGCAATTTCCGAGAAAAATCGACGATTTTTAAAGAGGCAACTTGTTTCCAGATTAGCATGCGCACACTGAGGAAACTTAATCTCAGACATTATTCTTTCTCCATCCATCCGCTGCAGGCCCACTTCTTCGAATCCCTTCTCTGCCACTCCGTCAATCCATATGCTTCTAGGCCTTTATCTCTTGCCCCCGCCTGAGAGTATTCTGTTTGTGTCATCTGCTGCGTGAGATTCCCTGACATGTGCGTGCCACATTATGTGTTCTGTTTTTATACCGCATAACACAAAAGTGAGATCTGCAAGCCTATCCTTCCCAATTTGCTTGATGTAAAACGTTCTTTCGTGATTTTTAGTCGATCATCTACAAAAGTCCATTTCCACTTCAAACAGGGGTACAACGTTAACAACAGGAATAATAATCCATTCCACTTACAACAGACTATTCAACAGGAACAAAAATCCATTAGCACTTCAACAGGCCTACAACTTCAACTACAGGAAGAGAAATCCATTTTCATCTCCAGTAGGTTTACTACTCTCATAACAGGAACAAAAATCAATTTCTACTTCCAACAGGCTTTTAACTTTAACAGGAGGAACAGAAAATCTAGACCCAAAAACTAAATAAACACGTCAATAATGTAAGTAAAGAAAAAGTTACACAAACATTCCCTCAAATAAAGGTTAAATAAATTTGATTACAAAGAACAGCAATATAAGAGATGAAGTGACAGGAAGCTGGAGAAAACTGCATAATGAGCTTCATACCTTGTACTCTTCTCCAAGCATAATTAGAATGATCAAGTCAAGGAGGATGAGGTCGGCAGGTCATGTAGCACGAATGGGGGAGACGAGGAATGCGTATAGGATATTGGTGGGAAAGCCAGAAGAAAAGAGACCACAGGGAAGACCAAGTCGTAGGTGCGTGGACAATATTAAAATGGTTCTTACAGAGATAGGATGGGATGCGACGGATTGGATAGATCTGGCTCAGGATATGGACCAGTGGAGGGCTCTTGTGAACGCGGTGATGAACCTTCGGGTTCCATAAAATGCTGGGAAATTCTTGAGTAGCTGCTGAATTGGCGGCTCCTCCAGAAGGGCTCAGCTCCACGAGTAAGTAAGTAAGTAAGTAAGTAAGAAGAGCAATATGGCGATTTTATTACGAATTCGTTGAATGTTTTCTTGTTTTATCCTCACAGCGACACGCCTCTCTAAGATATAATACATCTACAATTGCTGTCTTGTAAATAATGTGTTCCATTTTCACATAACACACCATTCATATCGAAATTTCACATTGTCCCACTGCCCTAAACCATGTCTTCCATCCTTACTGAATTTTCATTCCAAAATGTTTTTAATTATCACAATGTTTTAAAACATCTATTCCTATCACAGCCGTTTTAATATGGTGTCCCGACTATAAACTATTCTTACATAGCCCTATCAACAGAAACTACGTAAGCATTCTATTTTGGTGCTCATAACAGAATCTGAGATCATCATCAAAAACTTCGCTGGGTTAGAATATTAAGACCCATTCCTATGTATCATAAGATCTTGGTCTTTCCATCGTTGTTGTGGTTTTCCAGAGTGCCGTCATCCCCAAGAATGCAAACTGTGGTCTCCTTTCATTATATCCAAATACGAACGAGCCCCACCTCTAATATCCGGACTCCGTTGCGTTTAAAATCCAAATTACACTGCAACAATAAAGCGTTGTTCTTGATGTACTGTTATGCAGGCGTAAGTTTGTATCAACTTATCATACGACACTGGAGATTATCTCACCAGGATGTGCTCCACAGCTCCACAATCGCCATGATATCTCACAAGACCCGGCTATTTGCAACTACAACGTGAACACCGCGAACCTTATCCGATGTCACCGTTCAACGCCATATTTTCATTGCTCCATCGAGAAGCTGAGCAACTGCGGAACACAGCAAATCCACCTTCACCCTTCAAAGCACAGAGGTTTCTTTTTATAGCTAGTGGGTGGGACTAAGTCCCTTGTACTGCGGCCACTTGTACCAGCCCCAGAAGATAGGTGAGGGTGATTGTGGAGCAATTGGTGGAATGAAGATTGGCAGGGGAAACCGAAGTACTCGGAGAATACCTGCCCCAGCGCCACTTTGTCTACCACAAATCCCACTTGACCAGACCCGGGATCGAACCCGGGCCGCCGCGGTGTGAAGCCAGCGACTAACCGCTTGAGCTATGGCGCAGCCTCAAGCACAGGGTTACTACATGCATCATCTACTTTAACATTAAAAACTCCGCACTTCTGCTCAGAACGTATTTGTGTCGCTTCATTCTCAAAATATACATCGAGTGTTAGAACTGAGGTTCTCATGGCGGTCGCCATGAAAGGTACTGTCTTCTGGGATGTGACGCCGTGTAGCATGACAGAGGTTTACAGACGTTTTGAGGAAGTTAGTGTCATCACCTTCAGTTACCGGAAACCCTAGCAGCTGGCGAAGGGTTAATAAATTCTTTATCTTAACTCTCAAAGGTATCCCGACTATGCGGCAGGTTTGCGTACGTTCCTCTACACGACTCTTCATGCCTCCTAAAAGTAAAAACTCTGGATTTGGGTACAAATCTCTCATTTAACTTCTCTCTCTAATTTTATTGTGAAATTGGGATTATACCAGCACGAATTTCGTGGTGCACAGTTAACGAAACTTTTTCTTTCACTAGCTCTACAGTCCCTTGGGCCCTGGCTTTTGATTTTTCAGTTTCATGATCATTTTACACGCGGTAGGTCTACTCGGACGAGTGATCAGCTCGTCGCAAGGCCTCTACCTAAACACAGGACAACACAAACACAGAATAAACTCATACACATACCAAATATCCATGCCTTGTGTCACACAAGTTGTGTGGCATTCGAACCCACAATCAGGGCTTCCGAGAGAGCGAAGAGAGTGCATGCCTTGGACAGCTCGGCTACCGTGACCGACAACGAAATTAAGTAAAGGTATCCCTGTAACATGCCGAGGAGGCCCATACGGTTGAGATGTTGAGGGTCCCACATTTTCTAGACAATCGGCTCATAGATGGCGGCAAGGTTTTCAGTCCTACGCGCCGGCCGCCCTTTACCCCCAAGAATATTCAAAGAATGTTCGTGGTACTGATTTCTGTTAGAGGCTGAGTCGACCCCAGGGTCATCGTGCGGCTTGAAGGATTAGGTCAGTTGAAAAAAAAAATCCAATGACCTCATCGGGACTTGAACCCGCGACCTTCCGGCTTGTAGCATAGTGCCTCAACCAACTACGCTACCACGTGCCCCCAACGAAAGCTCTACACATTTCTAAATGTGAAGTATTATTCTCTCTCTAATACCTATCCATAAAAGTCTTCCATAACACATTTACTAATATCATCTTCAATACAAACGGCCAGTCCCTCTGAATTTCTGACATACTCGTATTTTGCGGTTTCGCATGGCCCTTGAAAATAAGTGGTGTAACCAATGATCTTACAAGCCTCTAGACCTGCCCAACTTTCCGCAATGCCCAACATGTCCTGAGATTCAAGTAAATTAAAAACATTATTTCCTAATTTATTTCGGACACCCTTAATATTAAAAAGCCTAACTTTAGTTAATTCTGTCACATCGTCAAGTTCCTGTGCGGTTCCACTTCTTGACCTGTTGTCTTCCGTGCTCCCACGTGCCGGTGCAGCGTCCTGCGTCACCTAGCGTCTGAGATTACATTACTGTCGGGCTGTTTACGCCGTCTCACTGGCGTCATCGTCGGGCTCTGCTGACGGTTGGCAATGTGACGCAGTACCGTGTCCAGCTGACTGACGTCTTCCCTGAGTCAGCGCTCCTACTCCAAACTGCTACCATGGCACAATCCTCTGGCAGTACTGCCTTCTGTTCTTGCACTCGAAGATTTCTTGCCCTCTGCTGTCACATTCTGGTATCTCGCAGGGGTGTCCAGCTGTCTGCTCTTGGCGTATGTTTTCCCTCAAATAACTTAAATCGTATGTCCGTCCATTCACTATCAAATCACCCTTTCTTAAGAGGGGTTGGTGGCCCCACTACTTTGTGTATTTTATGTCTTTTAGGTAAGGGACCATTTCTTTCCATGTTCTCCTGGCCGGTACGGAAGAGTGTTCGCCCACTCTGACTCTGAAACCGACTATGTTTCTCTTATTTTTCCAACACCTCTAGCTTCTTGGAAAATCATGTAAATTAAAAGTGGGCGCTCTCCTCTTCTGGCTCACAACATATTCTCCAACGCTGTCTTGATTTCGTCGACTCGCTCAGCCATTTGACCACCATATCCAGGGTTTCGAAACGATTTTCTTCCTTCTTCTCCTGTAGTACAAAAATTATTATACTGTTTTCCTCTGTCCTTCACTCCTTTGTCGCAGTTTATTTTCTAGTTCTTTATACCTCACTTCATATTCTCTGATCGCCTGTTTAATTAATCTCTTGATTATCAACGTACGCCAACTTCTGGTCGATCTTCACCCGCTCGACTTGCGGCTGAGAAACCCACCTGCCTTTTCTTTAACACGCCGTTCTCCAGTTCATTATGTAATACAGACCCGCCAATTCTGGCGTGGTAGGTTTCCATGACCACGCCCATCCTATCGCTGTACCAACACGTGTGTCTACCACCGTGTCTGAAACTCAACTGCATAACATTGGTGTGCAGTTTAAAATCTCGCGTTTCACATCGCTTTCAGTGGCTAGACTATGTATATAGCGTCAAATCGGAGAGCACATGAATTATGAATTTAAGACAATCTCGTAGTGGTCGTGGCCTAATTTTGGTACTATCCCGGCTTTTCTTCTACGAACTGAGGAAATCCACAAAAACAGACAGTATTGCCAATGTTCCGGCCGAGATTCAAACCCAATTACCTTCTGAACACAAGCTAGAGCGTTACCGGTTCGGTTCAATGTTACTTCTGATGATAGAGTACAGAACATACTCAAACTGGTGTCGTCCCTTACCTGACAATGTCTCCAAGCTGGCACTAAATACTTCAAAGAGTACAAACAGGTTCGACTTTCGGTTAAGCACCACGGTGGTTTATGTCACGAAACAAATACTGCCTAATCCTGGTGAAGATTACTGTCTTGAGTCTGACCTCGTGTAGTCTGGTAGATATTTACCAACGTCTCGGAGGAAGCTTGACGTAGCAGGTTCCTTCAAAACGTTGCGAACTAGCCAGCGGTGTGCTGTCAGTTTGTTTAGAATGGACTCGCTCGTAAAATGTTCTGGGGTCAACATAAATTAAGTGCAAAGATTTTCATGAAATACAAAATATTTTTACCACTAAAGCAATACAAATTGTATTAAAACTATCTTATGAATTAGAAACATTTAAAGTTAGAGAACACGTAAAAATTTCTTTCTGGAATACATCGCATAAACTACGAGTTCTGGCAAGATGACTCCATGCATCGAACCGATCCTCTGACGATTCTGCATACGTTCTAGGGGGATCTCTGGTGTCTGCTGCTGAGCAACGTTGCCGATGCATAGTCTTCACAAGAGTACTACAACCAGATTAGCCAAAGGACTGCCTACTATTTTTATGGTCGTTAAGTTGGATATACTTCCTATTGTTAGATTCTTTCGCGCGCGGCAGCATCATTCATAGCAGTTAAGCCTCGTTCTGCTTCTCTGCTACTAACAACTACTGCGTTTAAAATTGCTTCGCTTTAGCAATTGTGCATGGAGCAGAAATTTGTAGTCTCCATTCCAGAGTTGTGTCTACAATAACTCTAAAATTCGCTAAGGTCGACTTCAAACTTCAATAGATGATTCGACTCTTCAGCCTCTGGCCATGGTGAAATTATTCGTTATATTTCCATGCAGATGAACCCAGTAAATTAAAAAAGGCTAAAACTCTTCATATTTTTTATTACTAGGGTTGTTCTCACGTTCACTTTCCCGCCGATGTATAAGTGAAAGGATTTGTTGATAATAGTATGGCTGCCAAATTATAAATTACAGACTGAATAAATGTCTTCTTCTTCTTCAAAGGTTTTGGATTTTACCAACTGCCGATCACAGTGGCTGCGCGGTCTAAGGCATGAACCGTCTTCGCGCGCTCGAACACTGCGATCGTAGGTTCGAATCCCACTCGAGGCATGGATGTCTGTTTATTCGTGTTTGTGTTGTTCTGTGTGTAGGCAGCGACCATGCGATGGGCTGATCCCCCGTCCAAGAAGTCCTATCAACTGTGTATCGATTAGGAAACTGAAAAAGGCCAAGGCTCACAAAAGTTGTAAACCCATACATACATACTCGTATTTCAGCGACTGGGAAAATTGTTCGGCATGTTTACCGCTACTCTCCCTAAGACACTGCATTGCTCTAATTGTGCACCTTATAAGTTACGTGACATTTTGTGAAGTTGTAAAACGTGACTGCAAAGCATTTCATTGCATGAAAATCTCTCATAAAATAAAAATCATTACAGCTAAATAATTCAAGAAATTTTTATCCACCCGTTTAGCAATTTCAGAAAATTTGTATGCTTATCAAAGTGCACAAAGAGAACTGTACACGCTCTCCACACAGCAAATGCTGCTCTTAAAAAAAACCGTTGCCCATCGAAGGCCTAGAATAGTCCAATTTTGATAATCTCAACCTCTAAATCTTCCCAAATTTCAAGAAGTTCTCCTCGACTTTTAGTAAAGTTATGGGAAATGGGGGGAAACGCGGTAGAGTAGTTGGTTGAGGCACTATGCTACAAGCCGGAAGGTCGCGGGTTCAAGTCCCGATGAGGTCACTGGATTCTTTTCAGTTGACCTAATCCTTCCAGCCGCGCTATGGCCCTGGGGTCGACTCAGCTTCTAACAGAAATGAGTACCAGGAATTAATTAAATAATTTTCCTGGGGAGTAAAGCGCGGCCGGCGCGTAAGGCTAACAACCTTACCGCCATCTTTGAGCCGATTATCTAGATAGTGTGCGAGCCTTGACGTCTCACAACCCTATGGGCCTTCACGGCCTGTTACAGGGATACCTTTAACTTTTTACCTACTGACCTAATGAATCATCAGCAACAAATTTCAAAGAAACCAGACCTGAAAGAAGAGTTCTATATCCTGAGACATAACACCGTGTAGTAAGTTGAAAGTCAACCGACGTTTCGAAGGAACATATCTCATCATCAAGGTTGAAGAATAAGCCAAGCAAAGAACCGGCATGGCTCTGCTTGCTTCCCGCTTCTCTGGTTTCTTGATCGGCCTATTCTTCGAACCTGATGAGGCGGCATATTCCTCCGAAACGTCGGTTGACTTTCAACGGACTACACGGTGTTATATATCACTGAAGACAGAACTTCCTAACCACCGGGGTGCCAACATTATATCCTACTGCAGTTCAAAGGATTGCAACAGAAGTAGATGTTTCTGAGTTGCCCTGGCGGTACTGCAAGGCGAACAGGCTAGATCTCACCAGACTCGGCCCTTTCAGGTGAGTTCATTTTCACTATTCCGCCACGAACTCTCAATCACGAGATTCTGCAGAATAGTGAATAAAACCCCCTAATTCTCGTCAAAACAACCCACATTCTAACCGTGTACTCCAGACTTTAAGTCTTGAGTATTACCACTATGCCAATCTGCTCTGTTCAAAGCAAATAAAAATAAAAATGTCAGGGCTTACCTTCTCTGAAGTGCCTCGCCTCTTGATCTCTGCAATGACCCATGGCAACATGGGTCTGGAAAACCTCTTGTCCATGGCAGTGAACCCGAGGTACTCCACTGGGTACAGCTTCATGTTCAGTTCCACCGCCATTTTGTACGCTTCACAGGAATCAGATCCTACTTCACACCGTCATTACCACAGTAAAATAATTTGTAAATCAGATCCTACTTCATTTTGTAATGGTCACAGCACCTCCTCGCAATCATGTTCTACTTCATACTATTATTACTGCAGCAAGAAAGAAATTACTATAAGTATGTACCACTACTTTCATTTCATGATATGCTGGCGCTAAGCTCGCGCGTGAACGATGATGAATCGAAACACTTCACGCCACCCATGCGGAATATTGCCTTTGCACTTCCAAAAGTGTCAAAAAAATCTTCTGCAGTGGTCTGTGTTCATACAGCATCCGTGAACAGCCTGCAAGAAAACAAGATGTCCTGTTATATCCACGTTGGGGGATTAGCAAGAAGGTCTTCTGGTTGTGACGTTGTGTGTTCTGATGGATTGGTGAAACGTTTCAGAGGAAACTACTGTCAACTTCAACCCCAGAAATGGAAGCAGCTGGTCCCTCTGAAACGTTGGTACAAATCTACCAGACTACACGGCAACACGTCCCAGAAGACGCACATAATTAGGACTATTAATGCAATAAAAGTTTCCTGTTACTATGGAACAAAAATATTCAACAAAGTTATCACAAAATCCGCTTCACTTCGTCACAATTTATTTCTCAAAATTCAGTTTAATACTGTCATGGTTTTAGTGATTAAACATGGGGTCTGGATTGGTACAGTAGAACTTGGTTATAACGTCATCAAAGGGACCTAAAAATAGTGTCGTTATAAACGAATGTCGTTGTAACCGAAATGGGCACTTCCACAGTAGCCTTATGTTAGTCACGTAAAAATCTACCAAAACCGAGTTAAAATGTTGCATTTTTTAGTGAAATACGTAGATAAGTACAGACTAACGTAACATTAACGTGGAATTAATATGGATTCTCCATATCGTTTGTACTGTAGAATTCACCAAACCAAATTCGCGGCATACATCAGCTGTTTTCCTTCCATTTTCTATTTCACGAATAACTTTAACTTTCGCTTCAGTGCTTAAAACTTTCCTTTTCATTGCCATGTTTTCGCTACTGCACTTCTCTGGGTTTAGGCAGGAACACTATAGGGTAAGTAGACAATGTGAGGTCCTGTTAGACGAGATTCTAGGAAAGGAATGCAGTTAACAACCTGCCGCGTCCTCTTGCACTATTCACGCAGTCCCACCCCACACCCTTGTTTTCGCATAAAACCCACGCTCCTCTTGCAGCCCGCGGTCGTATTCTTCCAGGACAGTCACGTCAGCAAGTAGAGAAAGTGAGGGTGGGCAGACACATTGAACTTTCCCACGATATCGGAGAAATTCAGGAATGAAAATGACGTTACATACGAGGTTGATGCATTTGTGCATGTCGTACTAAGCAAGGTATAAAAACAGTTGCTTTATGAAGAATTAGTTCGTACCACTGAATATTTGACGCAATAGACAAGGTGTCGCAGAAACCGATGTTGCTATAACCAAGTTTTACTGTAATTGGGTTTATTTGACTCTTACAACCCGTTAAGTACAATCAATTTTAGCGCTATCGTTAATTCATATGTTTTACAATTTATTACAGAAAGCCCTAAGTCTTCTCGTTCGTCTTCATTGGCTGTTGCTATGCTACGGCTTCGAGCTATAGCTGGGGCTGATACAATAGTCCAAATAATGACTGACGTACCAACTGGACTCAGACTGATACCACCCCAAGAAATAATAATAAATAAATTATCACTGTCAAGTTCATGATGCTGATGATGTTGATCATCCGCTGATTCCCATTTCATCATCAGAAAGTCAAATAACATAGCTTAAAAGTTTAAACATTCTTTGTGCCGACTTGCACTTACCTCAGGAGCCAGGCACCTTTCAGTCTGTTTCATAAATGAGCACAGAATTTTCTATTCCATTACAATTACCAACAAATGATGATGAGCAATATAATCTTTCTTCCTTTCCTTTATCTCTTTCACACCTTTATCTCCTCCCCCCTTTCTGCAGTATTACTTTTACAGCTCTTTTATTAGTCCATCTTATTATCACTCCTACTGTCACAACTTTATCCCTTTTACCTCCTTCCCTCCATTCTCCCCATATGTTTTCTTGCTCCATTCTAGCCTCTCCCCATACTCCACCAACAAGGTGTTCAGTCTTATCCACACATGAGTGAACTGGCTGTTATTTATATGCCATTGATTCAATTGTGATTTTCTTAATAAAGCAAGACCATTTCTGACCCAGGGTAACTTATTTTGTTTATCATTCTAGCTCCTAATATTTGGAGGTGACTCCTAGGTACAGGCCTGTCTGTGTGATAAGTAATCTATATATTTTCACCAGTTACTATAGAGCACCGAGTCCCTTGCAGATGCATAAGGCAGCATACAGAACATACAGTAACTGACTTGTTCTATATCATGTAACAATGATCTATAGAGACGAAATAAATAAATAAGTTGAACAACAGAACAACCAGAAAGAGGCAATTATACAACATGGTGGTTGGTTTAAAATATAACAATTCCCACTATATAACAGACAAATATCCTCAAATCCATCAAGATGGCATATAACACTGAATATTAAAATGGGTCTTAAGTCAAAATTAGGCAAAATTGCAACATTCTGTGATCACCTTTGGGTTCTGAGATGATGGGCAATTTCTTGAATAACTAGTACTAAATGTACACCGTTTTTTGGAACTGTGCAACTTCACCTATTAATTTATGATATTAGAAATTAATAGTTCATGATTTTTAGCATTACAAACTAGTATTTTAGAACCATTTATGAAGGGGATCTCAATCCTACATGATTTCTAGTTCACCAAAGCTAATATCAACAACACATTCAATTTTACTTTGAAAACCATATTACCAAGCTCATAATATATAACATTATTCCCAGCATGTTTATTTGCAACTTCTATACATTACTTAATATATCATGGGGACACTCTGTATGAAGATGGTAAGAAAATAATATAGAGAACTAAATATCAGTGCTAATAAATGAGTTGTAAAATTCAAAGTTCTTTTCTTAATATTCTGAACAATTCACAACTTTTATTCTGTCACCACTGACTGCCAGGGTGTTCTTTTGTTGACAGCTCACCTCCAATAACACAAGAACACGATCTTCCAGTGACAAATGCCTTATGTGTTATACCCAAAATAACTAGCCACTGCAACTTGTTTTATGTAAAGAGGGAAGCGTTCTTTCTTGGTCACATTTTCAAAGCAGTTAGTGCGATGAAAGTCGTCTTCTGGGTTTCGGCGCCGTGGACTTTCATCATAGTCATCGCCTTGAAAACCTCAAAACTTACACAGTTAGTGCGAATTTGCACTTTCAAAAATAACTGAGAATAATTCACTCATATATATTACACACCAGTTAACATAACGATCAGGACTTGGTTAACTGTTACCATTACATAATGTAGTATTCGATGCTTTTAACTTGGAATCAACGCGATAAACATCGTTTGCTTTATACAGAACACACAAAAAAATTGCTCACTCGATTTACAATAAATTTCATTCTAGCATCCGAAGCACTTTTACTGTCCTCTTCTGAGAGTCTATTTTAGATACATGTCAGTCAAAATGTGTGTCACAATCGGTCTCGATTTAGGCTTAAAATGCGAACCACTTACCTCGCACATGTGAACTACTAACATCCAAGCATCAGCTGACCAACAACGGACAAGCCAAGTGAATGCACTACAGCCCATCAGCTCCTCAAGCAAGCATGCGAACTGTCAAATATGCCCTTGTAATCCTCAGATATGGCCATAAACGTCAACTCGGCTAATCAACTGTCAATACCAATACTAACTCCTTCCGATAACATACAATTTCACTTGCTGTATCTAAACCTAAACGATCTAAACTGAATCCATTCTTACGTTTACCTGTACCCTGGATGTTGGTGACCTGCACGACTTGAAATAAGTTTGCCTGCGACACCTATTGCCAACGTAAGAAGCACTACTGGAGAATTACTGGAGAGAGTTGCAAAAGCTGTATCGGTAAAGCAGGGAGCTATGTCAAATTCCAGGAACTTCATTTTCTTCACTAGACAATATCAAAGCGATGTATTTTATGTTTTGTAAACATTATGCATTATAGGTGAAAACCTAAACATGTAATTCCTCTGTGATTTATCCCATAAAAGTGGCCTATTTTATGAAAAATACTATTTTCTGAGGCGTGATGTCATGTAGTTTGATAAAGTTCAACTACGTTTCGGAGGACTGTATCTTGAGGTCTAAGAGTAGGTCAAAGCAAACAAACAGCGATACATGGGTAGGAAGCAGGTCTTGGTGGTTGCATGCTTTGTTTATCCTTCTATCCTGAAGATGGAGTGTGTGCTCTGAAATGTCAGTGAACTTCTACTGGACCACATTCATAGGGGTAACTGGAGGGTTAGACTCCCTTCTTCTTTCTTTTCTTCTTCTTCCAGATTGTGTCAATCTTCTTCTGCATTCCATCAATCTTTCTTGCTTGATTCCTTTTCAATATTTCCCTCTTTTTGATGTCATCCACCACCTGGCTAGATCGTCTTGTTCTATGTTGTCCCATAAGCCCTTTACTTTCATTTTTAATTCTAACACCTGCTTACACGTTTACAGTAATGCAGCAAACCAGTTCTCTCATGACGTCACGCTTCTTTTAATTCAGTAATATTTTGCAATTGGAAATAACCCTTACAGTTCCATGGTTTAATTTCAGACATCAATAACACTACATCATTCCTCTCTTCATCGGTGAACTGGAATATGATAGGTTCCATTCTTACACGGTGGAATGTCTTTTTATGCCAGATTGATAATGCATATCGTAATCATGGCATTTCACATTATGAATTTGGTCTTCTGGGATATGATGCTAAGTGTTTTGGTACCTACCTACCAAATTACATGATGATGTATCTCAGAAGACAACATTAACATTCACAATGAGAACCTCAAATCTTATACATGCAACATTTCTGGAGTTTGAACCACTGAAGTTTAAAAAATGATAGAACAGTGTCAGAAGCACAGCAGTAGCTTCACCAGATACACTGATGTGTGTGAAGATGGTAACAGAGTCTAGGGAATTTTTACTGCTGCAGCAGTAACTCCTGTTTATGACCAGCGAGCCCAAAGACAGCTGGCAAAGACAGCACTCCTTCCTGTTTATACTGGTTCATACTCTTGCATTATTCAACTACCTAACCTTGATACACAGGCCTCCCTTAACTTACAAGACAGTTTATTTCCAAGGGTGGATGTGCAACTCAAAAATTATGTTACTACTTTGGTGTCATGGTTTTTATTTTTCATTGAAAACATACAGGTATGTCATTTAACTTTAACACATTCATCAGATCCATTTAAGAATCACAATTCCTTTGTTTCAGACAAAGAGGTTTTCTTTCCAGTTTTTTCTATAGAAAGGCAATTTAATTAAAAACATATATGAAATTGTCTTAACATATAAATTAGTGTAAGTTGAAATCACACAAGTCAACAGATAATTGGACTATATATACAAAGATCATGATACATATCAGTAATTAAGTACAAACACCTCTGTTCCCATTACAGTGTAAGCATCTACCACTAGCAAAAACAAAAACCAGACAAAAATTCCAGCACTAACAAATTTCTCTCACTAATGGAAGTATGATATTAAATCATTTTCATCCAGTGTGTTCTCCCAATTAACAGACAACGGAATCTCCGAAGCCTTGCAGTTCAGCGCACATTCCCATCATAACTCTTTGTCTTGAGAACTGAGATTGAAGTAATCTACAGAATTTTTTTTTGTGCTTCTGGCATGAAATGGTTTTTCATAATAATAATCAACAAATCAATATTAAATCATTGTCAGATTTATGTAAAGTAAAACCAGAGAATAACAAGCTGACATTACACAGCCCTTAGCACTTATGTAACAATGCTATCAGTATCTATAAACAGATATAAACTGTGACGTGTCTTTTTGATGTCATTGCAGGAATAACCATTTCTATCGCTCAGAAGTATCCTCTGTGTTCTCTTCCACTTCACAGGACTTGAGGGTGCAGAAGGCATGATGACCATCATAGCTACAGTAACAAGTGTTGCAACCACGTTTCCAGCTACTCCCTGGAACACAGCCTTCATATACCGGGAATGATGCTGTAAACAAAAACTTCATCCATCAAACATATAGCAGAACTCAAGTTAACGTTCTATATATTGATGATTACTGTCTTCTGGCATGTGATGCCATGTAAACTTTGTGCAAAACAATATACCTTGAGTAGGCAACCTGACAGTGAAACACAGGGGATGTTCTGTGATGGGTTGGACAGCAATATAATGGTACAGTATTCTGTTGGTCCCTTTATTAACCATCACGGCCGAATTACTACAAGGGAGTATGTGGACAAGTTGGGTAATCAGGTGGATCCCATGATCCAGTATTATTTTTTAACAATGATGTAATTTTCCAAGACAACAATGACCCCATTCACACAGCTGGAACTACTGAGTCATGGCTTGAAGAGCATGAACATGAACGTCAACATCTTCCCTGACCAGCATAATCGCCAGTTTGAAAATGGCTGAACCACTCTGGTCAGTTTTGGAGACTAGAGTGAGGAATAGATTCCCACCTCTAATATCTCTAATGCAACTTTAAGATGTTCTTCAAGATGAATGGTATACAATTCCACTAGAGACTGTTCTAAATTTGTACGAGTGCATTCCAAGATGGATTGCAATTGTAGTGAAGACAAAAGTTCATTCAACATCTTATCTATAACGTAATAGGGACAGTATCCGAGGGTTTTCCATTATTTTGTCCAACCCCTGTATGTATGTACGTGTATATATACATAGACACACAGTTTTCCTCTAACAGCTTCACGGGGAAGGGTGGGGGCTGGTGCCTACTCCAGGATAATGGGGGGCAGTGACTAGGGAAATGTAACCAACAAAGATCCTTCTGAAGGCAACAGAATTCACCAAAAACAATCCTGCAAGGAAGTCAATACACACTGACCAGCAAGTGAGTGCCATCATGCTCCACCACCTGGGTCACAAACTTGGTGTCTTCTCTGCATTAATACACAGGGTAAAGAGAATCTCAGAGGATGTTACTTACCTTGTGTATTAATGTTGACAGGACAACATGCAGGAACATGCCCCCTTTTTAAGCCCATCTCCATCCCACACTATTAAATTTCTCACTTTCCTTCTTTCCCAGTTCTGTTGTAGCTATCTCAACCAACAGGATCACTTCATCATCTAGGACAGTATCTGATCAACAACACCGCACACAATGAGCAACTGTACAGGTGACCATTTTTGGGACACCATATGCCAGTGATTTCTGATGTGCTCAGTGGCTCTTAAAATACCCATTGTGGGTGATGTTTACCTCTCATTGTCCCCTTCTGATCCTGAATGAGTACCAGTTCCCATTTCCCCCTTCATAGTTCCACTGGACTGACAGCCATAAGGCTGGATTTGAGGTTGTCACAGTCGAGGTTATGAAGAGTTACTTCTTCTTCAGACGAGAGAAAGACAAGTAACATTGCAGGAATAAATCATTGTCATCTGGGTCAAAGAATAAGCCAAGCAAAAGCAAGAACCTAGCATGAAGCAGGCAGCATGCACTGTAAACTGCACGCAGAAAATATAGGATCATACAGGTTGTGAGAGGCCTTGCAAACCAGCAAGTCTGCTCCCAGTAGCTCTCTCTGAATAACAAAACAAAAAACAGGAGATAGCAGAGTAACTCATGCCTGCAAGTGGAATAAGCAGCCTCTATGCAATTCTAAATATGAAACATGGTTTGACCATGCTCAATGCCATTTTGATATCTCAGTCATACCTCTCTTAAATCTCCTGCACTGGTGAAAGGTACAGGATGCATGATCTGCTATTCCATCTACTGAACAGATACAAATATTGCAGTCCCTCATGAATACTTCGCCAGGATCACACCTCAGTGCATATTCAATACCTGGAATATGAGTACAGTCAGACATACAGTCAACACAAATAATAAAATTCCTGTGTCTGAAATGTGAAACATTCACAGCCAAAGTTTACAAAGTAAAGAAAACGTGGTAGAAGAAACTGGATAGGACAACAGAAACTGGAAGGAACATACGTAAAGAACAACTTCTGAATGTCAATCATGGAAAGCCATCTGTTACAATCCTATGGGAAAACGTGGCTTTTCCTTACCAAGAGATTCTCATCAGAGTGGCAAAGTAATGGGCAAGTCAATTACCACAGTTTATTTAAAGCATCTATGGTAGGATGTAACAGTGTGCTATCTTCTACCTCTCTCTCCTACTTCCAGAATGTACTCAGGAAATATGCCTTCTCAGTTCCCACTTACTACACTTTCATGTCAATCTCAGTGACATAATAGTCATACCTATTACATTTGCAAAAGCATTAGATACCTTCAGTAACTGGACTGTTCCTGTAATTTTATTATGAAGGGTGAACCTGCTTGAGTTAAATTTCTTTCTTCAAGGGCTCATACTCATATCTGTCATTCATACCAACTGTTAAATATATCACTGTTACACCATTAATGCTTAATTTTCCAGTAGTGTAGAAAATATCTTAAGCATTATGAATCGGAGATAATGGGTGTTTCCTCTTCTTTCCGTACAGAACTTGGTAGTGGCTGGGGTAGGCAAATGTTTCACATGCCAGAGTGTATGGGTCTGAAATGCGGGTCCTAAAATGCATGCATACGGGGGAACTCAAGAATGAGATGCAAATCAGTACAAAGCCTGTAACTGGGATGGACACAGACATCCTAAAATCCATGTATAAAGAAAGGCTGAGGAAGTGACAGAAGAATATGCCAGGCTGTATAAGGGTTTGACATACATATTATAAATTCCCTGAAAATTAGGAATCTCGGGAATAAGACATAAATTTACATGCCAGGCTCTAGGGGCCTCAGCCCATGTACTACAATTCCAAACCGAGTATATGAAATATGAAAATCTAAAATTAATATAAATTTTCTCATAGACACATCAGCTTGGAGAAACCAGTATTGTTCACAAACATCAGAACATTTGACATGTTATGTCGATAACCCCCAGAATGTCACAGGACATACCAAGAATGTGGAAAGTATGGCATAAAACAAATAGGCAATAACAAGATGTTAAATTGTGGGAGGGTCCCCCCAGCATATACAGACTGGTGCCGCTATAATCCAAACAAACACCCATGTGATAAGTGAGTGTGTCTGATCCAGAGCTGTGGGGCAGTGACCTCCTCCTGCCTAAAGATGATGATTGAGGACTGCCACACCTGCACCAGCGGTTTCACAGCTGGAAATCTGTTGCTCTTTGTAACAGACTATTCATCTTGCTAAGCAGATAAAACAGTGTGATTAATAAGCAAGACTGTCACTGCCCAGAACTTGTTTGGATAGCAATTAACCAAGCATAGCAGCTTTCCTGGTTGCAGTACCTGCATGCTCATATGACCAGGGACCTGTAAGATTACCGATTTTGTGGCCTTATGCAGGAGGCATAATTAGTTCAGATTCTCCATGAAACTAGGTGGTCCGGTACTCAATCATGGACTCTGCAGAGCACTCACTCAGTCAGTGCACAGGAGGTGCTATTGCAAGAGGTTGACATCAAACAAAAATAAGAGCTTTGTACACTGTCACCCCTCACCTCACATAGTTCTTCCTCCCTGATTTATTTATTATGGTGATTGACAATACAGATGAAAAANACGGGGGGGGGGGGGTGTTGTATGGACACAAGTATAAATCCGTTCCTGTGGTTATCCCAAAAAAGTATTTACTGATTTATTGCACAAATTGATACAGGCCTAAACTAGCACTGGACAGTAACAAATACATTATGACTATGTATTCAGTTTTCTCTGGTAAACTTTATTGATTATGTATGAGACAGGAACATATTCCAGTAGACATAGAAGTTGATGCACACACGCACACACACAACTTTGTTTTAGAGGCCAAGTTGATTCAAAATTCCTGTCTGTTCCTGACCCATTAACAGTCAGGAGATTCAGTTACACCACCAATTCAAATTCCATTGCACCCTTAAAGGAGTGACTGAATGAGCAAAAAAGTATACAGTAGCCTTATCTTGCAGCAGGCTCCACCTGATGGAGGTATTTGGAGAAAAACATGAATGTAAAATAGTGGAAAAGCAATATGAAGCAGGTTTACATTACATAGAATAATGTACATTAGCTGAAAGACTTGTCCTATATCTTTGTATCATGATCTACAGGGTTAATAAATGAATGAATGAATGAATGAATGAATGAATGAATGAATGAATGAATGAATGAATGAATGAATGAATGAACGAACCTGAATGTATGAGCTTCATTTTCAGGCACAATATATTAATTTTCTATCAAAATATTTCTTTGGAACAAAGATTTCCATGCCTGTGAATCATTTCTGGCATGTCACTTGTGGCTCATCTGCAATAGTTTGCTATCGCTGGTTTATGGTAAAATAAGGTAAGGCAAGATAAATTTGTCTCTGTGCTTAAATAATTAACCATCACACCATGAACATCTATGCAGGAGTGAAAGTATAACTTCACTATTCTTGACCTCAGCACTAGATGAAGTAGAGCAGTCACCTTCACCTCCATGGAGTGAGTCCCAGCACCCACTGGATAGGAGGCTCCGTGCGCCTCAGAGATGATCTGGATGCTGTGGAGAAGAGAAGAATCTCTTGCCTCTGCCAGGAATCAAACCCCGTCTGTCCAACCAGCAGCCCACTGATATACCAACTAAACTATCCTGACTTTTTTTAGTACACTATACATTCTCAGAGAAAACATGAAATGGTTTAGATATTCAAGATGGATTTACTGTCTGTGATACAGGGAATGACTAATTAACTCTTATTCCTAATGACCATTCTGATGTACAGAGCATGGCAGTGCAGCACTTAGCACCAACTTGCAGGCTATCATGCAGTTAGATTCATGCTTGAATTTGTCTGAATATGAACTTCAAAAACTACATCTCATTATTTTGTGACTAGCCAAATCTGGGTCAAAGATGAAGCCCCCAACTTAAAGACTGAGGATGTGATAATGTGCTGCCTGGTCAAGGCTATAGCATGCCTCAGAAAGCAGTGAGAGATGAGTGTGGAACAATGGTAGAAAGCAAAGAAACTGGAAGAAAACCATATTCTGGTGTCATTTCATTCATCAGGAATCTCATGTGAAGACACCCAGGATTGTACCCAAAACTCTGCAGTGAGAAAATAACATCTAATCGCATCAGCTATGGCTCAGTCCTCTGAATATGAATACAATATTTTAGGCATTTCTGACCAGTTAAACTAACCTTGGGATTAGAATTGGCCAAACATGGTGCTGCTGCTGCTGATGATGATAATGATATGTTTGATAAACATCCAATGCAGGAAAGAGCGATTCATTAGTATTTGAGATGTGTCATTGTTAAAGATCTTCGATTGAATATGACCCGAGAGCAGTAGTGACTATCCCAGTACTTATATTCACAGAAAGACAGAAACATTTGATAGTTTTCTAATGTGAAGACACTGTCTCTTGAGCAAACAAATTTCTTCAAAATGATTGCTATAAAACATTCTGAAGCTATCAGATGCACAGCTGTACGTTGAGAGATGGGCTAGCTACCTGCATCCTCAAATACAGAATGTCCAGATGAAAAGTATCCAAAATAAAATAATTATTAATTATCAATAATTTATTATACACATTAATTGGTTACACCATTATAAAGAGAAACTATCAAAGGTTTTTCTGAATATATAACTTTCTCAATATGGTGGCATATACGTGTAAGCTGGGTATGAAAAAAAGAATTTTCAGAATTTTCCTTTCTGATGACATAAACCAGATACGTGTATGACAATTAGTTTCTGAGTACATTTTCTTATTTTGGATACATTTCATCTGGACACCCTATATATCAGACCAAACAGAAATAGAAGATAAATGTTTGACAATGTGGAAATACAAATTGACCCACAGTGTCATCTTCCAAGCCTGCTTTAAGCACACAACAACAGCTAAACAGAAACACCTTGACCCAGATTCGATCTTATTCAGACAGCCCTAACATGATAATGGGCACATGGTCATACAGTAGAAAATTTAAGGATGACAGTGAATTAAGATCAAGAATATATTCAATTTTCTACACTAGGTTCTGAAATTTAGGTATGCTGGGTTATTTTTAAATCCACCGATTAAGAATTAATGGTTATGATCCTCATCTTTAGTTGTTTCCTGTCTCAGAATTAGAGATTTCTGAGGCAATTCTTACTTAAATCATAGATTTTTGTTATATTTAGTCTGGTAGGTGGTTACTAGTATCTCAGAGGAACCTGCTGCCTTCATCTTCACGGCAGAAGCGACTCATGGTAGATGGAATGAACAGGGAATGTAAGAAACATGGGAGTGGTGAAAATGCACAGAAAATTTCTGTTGGAAAACCTCTGAAGAGACCAACTGGGATATTGATAAGGAAAGTAGTAAATCTCAGATGAAGGGTGGGTACTTCTTACAGGTATTTATGTATGCCACTGATTAACTGCAACTGACTGCAACAAAGAGTAAATGAGGTACTCCTTTATCAGGAGAGCTATTCTTGCAGGGTTACATAATGCTGGTATTACACAAGTTCGACTGGGTGAGTTAGTCCTACAGAACATTTTTATTATCTTCCTACCTCTCTTTTGTCTGGAAACTTCAGGACATGTGTCTGGTTCACAGTAGGAAGCAAGTCCATCTGATGCACACCAACACGTTTTACAGCCCTCCTTAAATTGTGTTCCAGGCTTACATCTGTGCCCAAAATGCACTGCATACAAACGAAACACTTCTTCATGAGAGAAAGAAGCATAATATTAATAAAGCATTTGTGAAACTAAATGACAAACAGTAGACTTCAGCAAAGTAGGTGCAGTGGGTTCTGGCCATAAAAGAACTACAGAAATGTGCCACATTTCAGTGTCTAACTACCTGCAACCTCCTATGGCAATGAAAAAACTTTCTCTGCTTTTTCACAGTGTGGTAACACAGTACCAAGTTACGAACTGGTCAATTCTTGATTTATCATGATTTCTCTATCACTTATCATGCCATTAAAATGCTTATAGCTTTATGAATATGAAAGCACAAATTAAGTAGAAGAGTTACAGCAAGTCCAAAGCAAGAGTCAAGAAAGCTACAGGGATGCATGAAATGTTATGAGAATTGCAAAAGATGCTGATGAAAATGATAAGAGAATGACTGAAACTGAAGAATTAAAGAAATGTGAATACAACTAACTTCATACAATTTATACATTCAGGAGGAAGCTGCCACATTAGCCGCATAACTTACTGTAAACCTAAAACACTAACTGCATGGAGCAGAAACCTTATGAGAAATTAATCATTGCTTAACCTTTGCAGAATATTCTTGCCGTTTATAAAACCTGAAAGCTCATTACTACATTCACAAGTTCCTTCCATTATCCCCTCTTTTGAAACAAATAAATCCAGTCCACACCCTGTCAATCTATTTATTTATTTAAGATCAATTAATATATGTGTGTTACCCCACATCTATGCCCAGGTGTTCCATGTCAATTATTGTGGGTTTTTTGGTCAAAATTGTAAATGCACTTCTCACTTTTCACATGCTCTACACATCTCACCATTTGACAATCCTAATATTATGTAAAGGGTACAAATTATGAAGTCCTCACTGTGGAAATATTTCTAGCTTACTGTCGCTTTCTCCCTTTTAGGTCCAAATAATCTCCTCACATACCTCTTTTCAAACACCCTCATTCTGTGTTCTTACTTTAATGTAAATGACAACAGGAAACATCCATAAAAACAATAGGTATAATTAGTTTTGAACACTTACATTTTTACATTTTTAAACAGTGGACATGAAGGCAAAAGATAATTTTTTTTAAGATTCATGTTTTTATTTTGTCCTGCATTCTGGTAATGAGACACGAACATACGCAGTTCTTAGATTTTCCTTCATTTACTTCAGGATTTAATGTCACTATTATCTAATGGGGCATCTTGTGTTTTTCTTTATAGTGTTTTCACCAAATAAATAAATCATATCACCACAGAGCAGAAGCTGATGTATCACATCCAATTCTAACTCCCCAAGTTTTCTTGGACCTTCCAAATGAGAATGCTGAGAACCAATTACAGAGATTCAGACAAATGTTTACCACAGGTTTTTATAAAACATGGTTTCATTGGTGTAAATAGCACAGAAAATTAAATTAGAATGATATATAGCATTTCTCTCCTAAAACTAAAAGTCACTATCTCAAAGGAAGTCCCTGTAGAAGAGAACAAACATAAAGTGGGGAGCAGTGTCAAGATGACTCTCTTCTTGGATGTGACACCGTATAGTCTAGTCAAGACGTCAATGTTTAAGAGGAAGCAGTTTTCTCTAAAATATTTGTACCTATCTACTGAACTACATAGTGTCACATCCCAGATCATGACCTTAGCAATTGCAACCATAAGAACAACAAATCTGAAATGGAGAATAGCAATTGGAAGGTGTGATATATGGGCTTAGCACATACATTATTTGACTGCACTGTATTTGTACAACTTGACAGCTGGGCCGTTGAATATAAAGAATATATTTTCTTGACTAGTTCCTGTCTCAAAATGCAGTAATTTGAAAACAATCACTGCAGTCATATGCGTTTGCATACATTCAAGAAACTGATGAACAGCAGCCCTCACTGAAATCAGTTACTTACTCTTCTTCCAGCTTGCTTCCATTCTCCATCAATTCTCTTAGGTCGCGGTGCAAAGGCCGAGAAGGCCCACCCCTTATACTTTCATTAATTCATTAGTCCCTGACTTCGTTTCTCTTTGTAAGGGTCAATGTTTTAAGGTTATAATATTTGCTTTATATTGGTTTAAACTATACTTGCACATGGATATGTGTTAATTCAACTTCGTATTTTATACTCCTCAAAGAAAGAATGCATGCTGAACCGTGTCTATGCCACCAAAACAAGTAGAATAAAATATCCTAAATACTGTCACATTAATCCATTCAAACACCATTACCACCCATCTATTTACACAGCAAGAAATATTAACATATATAAAATTGTCTAAGTAAGGAAGTTGGTCTAGAAGTAGACACAGAGAAAAATAAGTATATGTTGCTGTTTCATCACCATAATGCAGGGCAAAATCATGACATAACAATAGGAAATAGGTGTTTAAAAATGTGGCACAGTTCGATGTTTGGGAACGACAATAACAGATCAAAACCTGATTGAGGAGGAATTAAAAGGGGACTGAACTCGGGTAATGCTTGCTACCATTCAGCCCAGAACCTTTTGTCTTCTCATCTGCTGTCCAAAAACATAAAAATTAGACTATATAAAACTATAATTTTGCCTGTGGTTCTGTCTGGGTGTGAAACTCGGTCTCTGACATTGAGAAAGGAACATAGACTGAGTGTGTTTGAATGATCAAATCAAGGAGGATAAGGTGGCAGACAATGTCCTCACAGAACCCCACAAGAAAAAATCCAATGGGGTTAAATCTGACGACCAAGGAGGCCAAGGGCCGCGCCATTTGAGATTTGTGGTGGACAAAGTGCTGCTGGGGCAGGTTTTCTCCGAGTACTTCGGTTTCCCCTGCCAATCTTCATTCCACCAATTGCTCCACAATCACCCTCACCTATCATCTGGGGCTGGTACAATAGGCCAGAAGTGGCCACAGAACAAGGGACTTAGTCCCACCCCACTAGCAATAAAAGAAATAAGAGGCCAAGCAATTGGTCCACTTCTGCCAATCCATCTCCCACCCATCTCTCTGTCCAGGTGATTCATAACATGGTGGAAGAAATGTGGTGGTGCCCCATCTTGTTGGAGGATAATTTGAGGTGGTAAATGAGGCAGCACATACAGCTCTAGGATGTCCAAGTACGAATGTCCAATCAGTCTTTTCCAAAAAGAAAAACAGTCCAATAAACTTGTCGTGCATTAAGCCAGCCCACATATTCACTTTGGGACTGTCTCTACAACTCCACTGACATGAAACGTTGCCTTGTCTGAGAAGCATACTTGGTGGAGGAAATCGGGTGATGCATCAATTCTTTCTCGCATGTCCACAGCAAAGTTTGTGGGCGTTACTTGGTCACTCGGTATTAGGGCATGAATCACGTGAATCTTTATGCTCTCAGGAGGTGCCTTTTGTGTAGCACATTGTACAGTGCTGAACGTTGAATTTGCAAGCTAGCAGCATGAATTGGTTTGTGCGGACTTCACTGGAATGCCTTTCCAATGTGATTGACATTTTCTTCAGAGTTCCATGTGTTTCCAGATTTTACACACAACAGACTACTTACAGTCATAAGTTTGTTGTCCCAGAACTGAATGCTTTTCTATGTAGCAGGTTCACATCCATATTGTGTTCTAAAACGATGCTGGACAACCATAATAGATTGCGACTCTGTTCTCCACAACATATGCTGAGCCTTTTCCTTTGGTGACAACATTGTTACTGAGCTTGCCGAAGGTCAAACATTCTTGGTGAGTTACATTTTTACACTGTTATGCACTTCACTGTTTTTAAGTGTTTGTTAATGTGATTTTCATGCATGAAATGAGGTACTCCCATAAATATAATTTTAATATTCTTTATTTCTTTTGTATCATATACTACAATGTTTAATTTTGATGAAGCTATCTGATTTACAAATAATGCTTATAATTTATTCATTGCATGTAAAAACATTTTGAGTCATACTTATTTTAGTAAAGCTATTCTTTCTTAGCAGATGTTACAGGCCCTCATGATTATTTAGTAACTTGAAGGAAATATATCAGGATTTAATATCACTTGCATGTGTGTGTGTTTGCATATGTTTTACACGTTCCAACATTTAAAAAAAAATTCAAACTTTTCACCCATAAGTTATAATCAAAATACTCTTCTGGTATTCAAACTGATTAAGAAAAATACACATTTTTAATATATTTATCATTTTAGTTATTATGTGTTTTTAGGATTACAGTGTTCTTGGATTTCGTCCAGCATCCAGTATTCGAAAACTGGGTCTGTTCTGTTCTCAGGCGAGGGAGTGGGAGACATCTATTCTGCTGGGTCCATTAGAAAGATCTAACCTCAGTCACTGGACCAATACTGAAATACTGGATCATGAACAATATTAAAAAACCCAGAAAGCCCAAGTGTTAAACACCACTGTCAGAACCCTTTACAATCTGTGTATTATACGTGTTGTTCACATTCGATGTAAAGTGTTTGTAAGACCCCATTTAAACATGAAAGGCAGGAAGTTCTATATTGCAGCTGCATTAAAAACACCAAATATTCTTTTGTTTTTAGAATGCTAATTCTACCCATAAAAGTGGCACACTGTTGTATAATCTGATATGAATTTAGTAAACTTCTCAAACAGAATTTTCTTTTTGATCATCATTTTAAAACCTAATATAATCTGTCACAGAACTCAGTTTCATGTTTTCTATAATCCTCTAGAACAAACACTTTATACTCAGAATTTCTAAAAGTCACCAGGCCAAGCAATCATGTATTATGCTTTGCTGGGTTTGGTGGTGGGGGGGGGGGGGCCTACTACATGGCATTTTCGAGAAACATAAGAACGGGCAATTTCTTTGCATAATGTACAGCAGACAACAACTTCACAACATAATAAGATATTCCTAAATATTTTAAACTTGTCAAGGTGAAATATAACAGATATATGGCTGTAGTGCTGTATATCTTGTTGCAAGGTTTCGGATTATTTGGCACATATATTTACCATCTCACTATAATTTGCTTACACATTTTTTATTAGTAGAAGCTTACAATCAAGCAAGGTTAATTTTACATATAAAAAAAAAAAACAGATTAGAGGGTTAGGCAAGGACAGTAGCTACAGGAATTCATCTCTACAACATATTACATTAAACATAATATTTGTACCCAGATTTCTGATACATGAAAGAGAAATCAAGCTTGTCACATACACTGTGAAGGATTTTGAAATTAAAACATACATTTTCTCTTTGTCTTTTACTTTCTAAAAACATTATTTTTGCTTGGCTAGTCAGTTAAGCTAAATATTGTTCAGTGCTTTCTGTTTATTTTGACATCTAAAGTTATGTATCTGTGACGAGAATCAGAAAAATCCACAGGTGACAGTGGCAAGGACCATCATATTTATTAATCTGCCAAGTTGACATTTTCTTTCACATAACTACAAGCATATGAAAGAACAATGGGTTACAAATATAAAAATTGTATACAATTTTCATGCAGCCTGCAGTCTGATTTTATAAAGAATGGCCCATGCATGTTGCTAATGTAAGCATAAGGCAAGGCACAATAAGCTTGTGGCATGACCCACTCACAGCCATAGAAATGAGAAAGACAAAAGCTCTTCACACATGTGAAATACCTTAGACATTTGGATTTCTGTGCATAATTGTATATGGATCTGCCTTTCTATTAATGTATGCATTTTAGCTATATTACACATTTACTGTAATATAGAATCCACTTTGAGGTTTAAGTTTCTGAATCCCAGGTAATCACATCTATGGCACTTGTGAAATATGGCATGTCTATACATCAACAAGTGAAAAGTCGAATTATTACATGAAGAGAACATTTCTCTGTGTTGTAACACCATTTAGTTTGGACAGAGCCCAACATTTCTCTCTACACATTGTAAGGCATTACTGTACTGTTCTTAGTCACTGCAGTTAGAACCTCAAATCTAATGAACTGTTTATGTTACACATGTTACATAATAATTTCTTATTCCATAACAAAATGTTCAACCATCTGAAACGGAACATTTTTGTTTCATCGATCAGAATAATGTCTGTTTACATCAGAAAATAGATGAAGTAAGTAAGGCTTGTGTTTTTGATCTCTTCATATGTTATTTGTTTTAGGGTGAATTCATTCAACTTTCCTAGTTGCTGAATTACCCAGCAAGTTTATGGTAAAAATGACTGTTAGAAGGAGGAACCCATAGCATAAGATGGACTCTAAAACACTGCCGAACAGAGATAGCTTGGTATTTATCTGCAAACATAAAGATTTGTCTTTGTTGCAGGTAAAAGCAGAAAATTCATGAGGAATCTGTCCCACCTTACACCTGAGCCTTTTAGCTTGGGAGAGCAGCACTTTGCTTCTAGACCCTTCTGTCAAACTGTATTATTTATTTATTTTTATATAGCAAGATACCTTCCCATCCATTTAACATCTCTAACAGAGTCAAAACTTCATAAACATATGGAACACAAGGACTCCACAACATTTTGGGTCCACTTTATGAGTCACCGTCTCCATCACCACTCTGCCTGAAGGCAAAACAGAAATCTGCCATATTATCACTTGCATGAAAGACCTGCAAATTCTTTCTGTCACCCTTGTTAGGTAGGACAGATGACATAGGCCTCGAAACACCATAACTAGAGTCAAGGGAAGAAAAAAGGAATTTATACTTGACACCTCTAACCCAAAAGACACACAGAGACACATTTTGAATATCATAAAATTTCTTATTTCAGAAGTATCCAAACCCAATGACAAAATGGCTAATGAATAAGGGATTTCAGTCTTAGAAAATACTGAATTTGAATTCTTCCTAAAGTACGAGTGTTTGTGTGTGTGTTTTATCACTACCTTCATATTCATTGCCAAGATAATCTCACTAAAAGTTCTGCCGTGAGTTCCATCCCCAATGTTGACAAAACACTTGTGGCTTAGGAAAAGAGATTTCTGGGATAGAATGAGTATCAAATAGCTTCAGCTTTTGCATTCTGTTGTGTGCTTCTCATTAACTGTTTGTTAAATATCAGAACATGTATAAATGTTATCTTAACAGCTAATAAAACAATGTAGAGATCTAAAAATTTGTAAAAAAAAAAAACCGTATAGGAAAGAAAATTTGCAAGCATTTAAAATTCAGTCGATAGCTTTCAGAGATTATCAGACTGTCACAGAGGTTCCACACCAGTTTATATACTGACCAGTTGCTGTGTATGGGTAATGCAAGATGCCTAGTCTATGCTAAGGAAGGATCTACAAGCCCAGAGTATGCACAGCTGTGGCTGTTGCTGTGGCTATTGCTGTGGTTCAGAATTAGGAGCACGTGTACCTGTCTTTGACAGACACAATTTGAGAGTGCAGATTTCAGTTTGTCCATCAGCAGAACATTGACAATCGTTGCAATCCTTCTTGTAACTTGTGCCAGGTACACATTTCTGAGCATCTGTGACATAAAGGTAATTCTGTTGCATTAAGCAAGTCTGAGGTAAGATAAAACATAGGTTCAGGGGTGACAGAATAAAAGCCCAAGCTAATTCAATATGGTAGACCTTTCCTCAATCCCGTACAAATCTCCACAATCCATACAGTCAATTTAACTGTCTGATAATAGTACCAAAACGTTCAACACTTTTACAAAGTCCCATCATTGAACACAACCTGATAGTGAGCCATTCCAATCAACCTGATATCCCCTAAAATCATCAATTACTCTTGTCTTAATAAAACACCTACTATACAAAACTTAGTTCGTTGTGGTGATCGTTGCATGCATATGTTGAGTAAAAATACAATGGTATGGCACCTGCTATAGGATGTATCAAGAGAACTCTTTAACAAGTTTATGACTGGCTGGATGGAGGTTAGCAGATGACATTTTATCTGAACCCTTGTTCTGCCTATGTGTGGACTACCAGTGAACCACAAGAGTAACGTGTTAGCCGAGCTAGCACTGTTAGCATGAACACTCCACCAGTGGTCCATATTGAAGCATTAATCCTTCATTTTTATTGTACTGACTATCCATGAATATACCAGTATAATGCCAAGGCTGGCTATTCTGTTATTATATACTATTTAGTTCATAGTGTCTTTATATCTTAGGACAGACACAGCTTTTCAAGTTACTGAGGTTAAGAATTTTTGACAAAAGTTGCTTTTTTAACAATTTTCCATTGAAATGTTTAACTGTCTTCTTAAACTGTAAAATTTTAAACAAGACCTCATACAAATTTGTCAGGATTTGAGTGTTGGCTGTTCTATATGGGGGTCTAATGACAGACTTCAATACTGAATTCTGAGATTTATGATAGGAATTTATTAAATATCTGTGATACATATGCAGCTGATAAAACATATTTTTTAGCCTGATAGTCATAATTTGAATATTCATCTGGCATACCTCGCCTTTTTTTGTTGAAATGCAGACATGCTTTCTGCGTGCATACAGCATTTGTTCCATCGGCTGAACATATGCAAGTGTTGCAATCCTGCTTGAATACTGACCCAGGTTCACAGGTCTGAGTAGCTGTGAAATATCAACAAGAAGAGAACTCTGCATTAATATATGATTTGTTGTTTCATTAACTGGCTTGGCTGTAGATCACTTCACGGTATTATCCACTGTCAAGGTGGTCCTTGAAGTGTAGAAATATAAAAAACACGTAATACGATGCGTTCAACGGTGGAGGAAACCTGGAAACAGGGCTGAGCGGGAACATTTCTCACAGCATGCTGCCATAACTGCCGATGGCAGAATGAGTCATTGGTGCTGATAAACGCGCTCTATCAGGTGGTGTGATTTTGTTACTGCAGTAAATTGTATTAATAGTTAGTCTGTGTCAGAGGTGTTGATAGGCAGTCAACATTTATACTGAAATGAAGTTCACTATTTAACAGCGTGTTTATTGTCGAAACGTTTGCAAGGAAAAAACATACAAAATATGTGTCCATAAGTTTAGTCATAAATATCCTGGATCGCCAGTTCCAACACAGTCGTGTGTATCGAAGCCTGTAATGCAAGATGTCTAGTCTATGCTAAGGAAGCATCTACAAGCCCAGAGTATGCACAGCTGTGGCTCAGAATAAGGAGCATGTGAACTTGTCTTTGATAGACACAATTTGAGAGTGAGGTTTCAGTTTGTCCATCAGCAGAACATTGACAATTGTTGCAATCCTTCTTGTAAGTTGTGTCAGGTACACATTTCTGAGCATCTGTGACATAAAGGTAATTCTGTTGCATTAAGCAAGTCTGAGGTAAGATAAAACATAGGTTCAGGGGTGACAGAATAAAAGCCCAAGCTAATTCAATATGGTAGACCTTTCCTCAATCCCGTACAAATCTCCACAATCCATACAGTCAATTTAACTGTCTGATAATAGTACCAAAACGTTCAACACTTTTACAAAGTCCCATCATTGAACACAACCTGATAGTGAGCCATTCCAATCAACCTGACATCTCCTCAAATCATCAATTACTCCTGTCTTAAGAAAACACTTACTAAAACACTTGCTATACAAAACTTAGTTAGTGGTGGTGGTCGTTGCATGCATCTGTTGAGTAAAAATACAATGGTATCGCACCTGCTATAGGATGTATCAAGAGAACTCTAACAAGTTTATGACTGGCTGGATGGAGGTTAGCAGATGACATTTAATCTGTACCCTTGTTCTGCCTATGTGTGGACTACCAGTGAACCACAAGAGTAACGTTTTTATTTTACTTTCTGAAGTGTTAGCCCAGCTAGCACTGTTAGCATGAACACTCCACCAGTGGTCCATATTGAAGCATTAATCCTTCATTTTTATTGTACTGACTATCCATGAATATACCAGTATAATGCCAAGGCTGGCTATTCTGTTGCTATTCAGCTATTATATACATTAGCAAGTAGTGATTAAAAGAAGCAGAAGATGGCAGCAGTGCAGGCTATGCTAGAGCAATCATTACTGTATTCACTTGACAGCAGCACTATTCAGTTCACAGTGTCTTTATATCTTTGGATAGATGCAGCTTTTCAAGTTACTGAGGTTAAGAATTTTTGACAGAAGTTGCTTTTTTAACAATTTTCCATTGAAATGTTAACTGTCTTCATGCCATACATGTCAAACTCTTAAACTGTAAAATTTTAAACAAGACTTCATACAAATTTGTCAGGATTTCACAGTTGGCTGTTCTATATGGGGGTTCTAATGGCAGACTTCAATACTGAATTCTGAAATTTATGAAGAATTTATTAAATATCTGTGATACATATGCAGCTGATGAAACATATTTTTTGGCCTGATAGTCATAATTTGAATGTTCATCTGGCATACCTCGCCTTTTTTTGTTGAGAGGCAGACATGCTTTCAGCGTGCATGCAGCATTTGTTCCATCGGCTGAACATCTGCAAGTGTTGCAATCCTGCTTGAATACTGACCCAGGTTCACAGGTCTGAGTTGCTGTGAAACATCAACAAGAAGAGAACTCTTCATTAATATACGTTTTGTTATGTTTCATTAACTAGCTTGGCTGTAGATCACTTCATGGTATTATCCACTGTCAAGGTGGTCCTCAAAGTGTAGAAATGCAAAAAAAAAAAATGTAATACAATGCATTCAATGGTGGAGGAAACTTGGCAACAGGGCTGAGTGGAAACAACATTTCTCACAGAGTGCTGCTGTAACTGCCAATAGCAGAATGAGTCATTAGCGCTGATAAATGCGCGCCATCAGGTGGTGTGATTTTGTCACTGCAATAAGTAGCATTAATAGTCAGTCTGTGCCAGAGGTGTTGATAGGCAGTCAACATTTATACTGAAATGAAGTTCACTATTGAACAGCGTGTTTATTGTCAAAACGTTTGCAAGGAAAAAACATACAGAATATGTGTCGGTAAGTTTCGTCGAAATATCCTGGCTCGCCAGCTCCCACAAAGTCATGTCTATCGAAGCTTGTGAAAAAGTGTCAGGCCACAGGTTCAGCATGTGACATAAAGAAGCAATAAAAGAGGATTGTGCTGACTGAAGAAAAGGTTCGGGATACTGAGGCACGACTACAGATTAGTCCACGAAAATCGTTAAGACGCTTAGCACAGGAAACTGGGATTTCGCTATGATCTGCTTTCACAGCCACAAAATTAATCACATTTCGCCTGTATAAAATAACAGTTGTGCATGAGATGAAACAACCAGATTATGCAGCAAGAATTCGTTTTTGCAACTGGCTGCTGCAAAATGTACATGATGGAATCGTGGGTCCACAGCTTCTGTTCATGACTGATGAAGCGTGGTTTCAGGTTATTGGTCATGTCAATGCACAAAATGTAAGAATATTGAGCGATGAAAATTCTCATGCTATAGAGCAAGTGTCATTACATGGTGAAAAGGTGGGGGTGGGGTGTGCTGTAAGTCCGTGGTGAATCATTGGTACTTTATTTTTCCATAAAACCGTAAACTCTGATCACTACATTAATGACATGCTGAAGCCAGCGACTAACTGCTTGAGCTATGCCGCGACCTTCTCTGGGGGTATCTGAAATCAAAATTTCTCAAAGCTCCAGCAGACCACACAGTTCAGGAGTTTATAAACATTGAATTCAGGAAGAAGTTGAACGAATTCCCATAGAGATGCTGCAAAGTGTAATGATTGACTTTAGGAAGAGACTTATCGAGCGCCTACAGTGGAATCGTGGTCATCTGTCCGATGTTATTTTTGGGAAACAGCCTTCTGTTTTCAGGGAGTTAATGGAAAAAAACCAAATGCTTTTATGCTTACACTGTATTTATATGTGTTAAAGTCAAATAAATGCAATAGTTTGCTGCTCATAACGTTCTTAAAATTGCCTGCTTCATTCACTCGCCCTGTATAATAAGCTTGGACTTGACACAATTTCATTTTCCCCTTATCGGTGTATATTTCAAGTCAATGTATTATTCAAAGAGCGTCTTCCTCTGTTTACTAATTTCCACAATACTTTATGGGTGTTATTGAAATAGTTATAATATGCTGAATGCAATTTGTTTTTGCAGCCTTTTAGAACATTGCGTTACTTTTTACATGCTTTATACTTATTTCTACGTTCCTAAAGCTTACTTTGCATGTAGAGATTGTATAATTTTCTTTTTAGTTCTGTTCTTGCTGTAATAATATAGTTGTTTATCCATGGAACATTTGAAGAACTTAACAATACTTCTTCTAACTTCTGGACAGGCTGAATTAATATAATAGTTAAAGATGCCATAAAAAGAACCCCATTTATACATATTAACATATTATTTTCCTGGAATACATCAATCCAGGTTTCATTTTGTACCAAATTTGATGTTCTCATAGCAACGAGTATTAAGATTGGCATCTTCTGGGACCTCATACTGTGTAATTTGGTAGGAATCTGCTGCCTCTACCTTCAGGGTCAAAGCGATTTCTGTCTCAAGATGTGGCAGGGACGTTCAAGGTTGACAATGTATGTCTGTTTGAAGTTTATGGATCTTGAGGTTGAATATGAACAATGTCACTCCAGAGATTGACATTTACTATCAGCTATATGTTAGATAGAGGGGCGGATAGAAGTGACCAGAAGACGAGGAAGAAGACGTAAGAAGATGCTGGATGACCTTGGAGACAGAAGAGGATATTTTCATTTGAAGGAGAAAGCTCTAGATCACATCAAGTGGAGGAACTGTTTTGGAAGAGACTGTGGACCTGTCGTCTGACAGATTACAGATGAATGATGAATGAGTGAATATGTTAAACCCATGTTTCATCTCTTGGGACTATCTGTTCCAAAAAATAATAATTTCCCTCTTGATGAAAACAAGCCAAAGAAGTAAAAGCAGCAACCATGCACTTGTTCTTATGCTCTTCCGTGAGCATCCGTGCCACCCATTTTGCACAAATTCTTTTCTAGTGGAGATGGTCCACAACAGTGTCATGAATCAGCGAACAAGAAATTTGATGAAATTTCTCATGAATTTCATCAAGACTGAAACTCCTGTTTGTCCTGAAGTGTTGATCAATCCTCTTTTTCAAGTCCGCAGTGATCAGGGACAGGCACTAGGATTGCTTCTCATTGTGGATGTCTGCCCTGCCCTGGTTACACATGAGACACCACTTCCACATATCTGAATCATTCATTACACCGTCCCCATACACTACAATAAGCTGACAGTAAATTTCAATCGAATGAACATTTTGTGCATTCAAAAACCTATTTACATCCCACATTTCACAACAGGTGGGATTCTCAATTTTCTTATTCATTTTTAAATACTAGAAAAAATTGGAAAAACAAAAGGACCAGCAAATCGTTCACTTGGCTTGTTACTTGTTGGAATGGTGCAATTCACCGACCTGCGCAAGTGCTATGCACAAACGGTCTTTACTTTTAGGACCCTTCTGAATGACCTATGACTCATGTAAGTAATACGATCAGTGACTTGTGCAATGTTTCACTGTGGTTTCGTTATCTGCAACTTACGTGGTAGTTCTGTTGATTTTGGTAGGCAAGCTTTCAGTGTACAAGCAGCCACACCAGTGTCTGTGCAGTGGCATGAATTGCAGTCTTCTTGCCATGAGGTCCCAGGTGTACAGGTCTCTGTCCAGAAACAGTGACAACTCATTATGATTCTGTAAAATACATTTTTCTGAGCTTTTCATTTAATATATGTAAAATGTAACACTTTCTTCCTGTCAGGTTCCTCTTTCGTACTGCATACCTAGCAGAAACACCCAAAAGTTACTGTGGAATTCCCTTCTTACTCTTGCCATGGTTCTTACAGTGATGTGCAAGTATTGCAGTCTATTCTTATACAGCTAAGGAAAGCAACCATATCAAAAGTTGAGGAAAGGGCACTTCTGTTATCTCAAGTAATTCTACTGAATCCTACATGTTGCGCCATTTCCTCATAAGCAGAACACCCAAGATCCAGAACTTGGTATGTTTAGGAACCGAATGCTGCATGTTAAAGAAAACTGGTTTAGGCAAGAAAGTTGTTCTCTATATGAAGACAGTCCTGGGAAGACAAAGTATATAAATCAGAACTTGGGGAAGTAAGGGTGTATGACTGGATATCTCCAGAACCACATTTTGATTACACCTCTAACTTCATCAGTCCAAACACGAGCAACAGTAGTGCCATTAAATACAGGATTGTTAAAATTTATATAACAACAGATCTGTTGAAAGTGCAGAATAGACGTTAAAGTAGTTTAAGAAAAAAAACAAGAACATCTGAACTTCTCACACAGCAGATATTCGGATTATAGTCTTCAAGGATGTGATGCCATGTAGTCTGACAGTGTTTCAGGGCACAACAAGTTTGACTGTGATCTTAAATAAATTTGAACGTGACAACTGTTTAAAGCATTTGGACTTTGATGATGACAACACAAATCATTTTAGATAAGCACTAAAATTTGTGAAAGTGGTATATGAAAGATACATGACTATTTTTTACTATTGAAAATGAAACAGACTATACACTATGGGTGCACTTTTTTGTCATTCAGCAAGTACGAGTAATAATTCATTATATATATTTATAGTGATATTACTGGTCATGGAGGTGGTGTTAAGGGTGGCAGTAGTGGTGGTGGTGGTGGTGGTAGCTATACTAGCTTTGTTTAACAGGTGCAAGCAAGTAGATACTCTACTGCCTCTCCCTCTCATTTACTTGAAGACAGAGACAGGGAGACCTACAGACCACTGTAGACATAATCTCAGTAACATCCACATGTTAGCTACACATTTCGTTTTAATGTTTTGTCAGACTCTTTCCACTGAGTCTACACATGCTTCAGTTTTATTATTCTTGTTTATATTTATATTACATTGCAGGCAGTGCCTTGTTACCATTAACATAAAGATTGAAACTACAATTTTGCCCGTAGTTTTGTATGGGTGTGAAATTGTGACTCTCATATTAAAAAAAGAAAATAGACTGAAGTGTTTGAGAACTCCATGGTGAAGAGAATGTTTGGACCTAAATGGGATGAAGCAGTAGGAGCGTGGAAGAACTTACATAATGAGAAACTTTGTATAATGAACTCCTAGCCAGATATTAGCATGATAAAATCAAGAAGAATGAGGTGGGCAGGGTACGTAATATGTGTCGGGGAGAATAGATGTGAATACAAATTTTTGGTAGGAGAACCTGAAAGGAGACCCTCTGGAAGTCCTAGGCATGGAAGGGGGGATAATATTTAAATGACTCTACATGAAATGTGATGGGAGGCTGTGGACTAGTTGCATGTGGCTTGGGCTGGATGCCAGTGGCAGAATGTTATGTACATGACAATGAATCTTTGAGATCCATAATATGATGAAAATTTCTTGAGTATCTGAGCAACTATTAGCTTCACAAGGCCTCAGTTCCATGGAGGCAATTAGTTTGCTGTGGATAATCCAAGAATCATGTCAGTTTGTGTTCACATGATTTTACTTAATATAATTGCTAGGGTAACAGAATTGTATATAAGGAATGAAAGTCTGTGCGAGTACATTTCATAATATCTTTGCATGTTCTGTGTTATGTCCAAGGCAAGAAACAGGAAAAACAAAAGCTATATTTCCATATATGCTAGATAACAATCAGAATGAACAAACAATGAACAGTCACAACTTCAATATACCTACAGCCTAAAAACTTTTTCTACACATTAATTCACTTAGTGGGGGGTGGAGTCTAACTGGGTCCACTCGGCACAGTGGCCACTGATTGACCTATTGTACCTGCCCTGGGTGATTATAATGATGGAGAATTTTTGGTGGAATGAAGATTGGCAGGGATAACCAAAGTACTCAGAGAAAACAAGCCCCAGTGCCACTTTGTCCACCACAAATTCCACTTGTCCAGACCCGGGCCACCACAGTGGAAAGCCAGCGACTAACCGCTTGAGCTATGGCGAGGCCTAAGGTTTTCAACACATGGTCTGGAAGGAGTAAAACATAGCATGCCTACTGGGTTCTGCATATGCCTCAACATGCATATCAAGATGCAGCACATGCATCTATCAGAGCACCACTTGCCCTACCTCGCTTGTTCCTCCTGCATATGTTAATTGTGCAGGATGCATGAGCTTTTATACCATCCTGTGAGCAGATGCACATATTGCACTCATCCATGAATCTTCTTCCAGGCTCACACCGCTCTCCATCTCTGGGAGCTGAGCAGTAAACAAGTTTGTCTGTGAGATCTGAGGTTCTCACAGCATTAAATTATAAGGACATCATCTTATGTAGTTTGGCTGATAGGTACCTACATTTCAAAAGAACCTGTTGCCTTCATTTTTAGTAGGAACAGGTTCCTCCACTATATAAGGAACTATCTGCCAGACCGCATGCTGTCATATCCCAGACGCTTACACTCTTGAAGTATGCATATTAACTACCACTTCTTGGTTGATTCTTGGTTTATGTAGAAATGCTTTCTCAGCAATGCAAATTGCATAGTATCAAAACATAAGCAACATTATGTTTGTTGGGAAGGATATGGAAGAAAATATTTAGTGTCTGTTTTCAGTTATTAAAGTGACATTTTCCTAGAACTTCTAAGATAAATCAGAAATGGTCTCAGTCAGGATAGTCAATGTCTGGGTGAAGATTTGAACATGGTTCCTCTTGAACGCAAAGCAAGTTTATTAATCAAACAGGACAGCGCAAATAGAAATAAAATGAACCATCAGTATCTAACCGTAGTGTTGCTGAAGAAATAAATCTCCAGATACTGATCATCTTCTGGCACAAGTGATCCAGGTATGATGCAAAAGACATTACACTCTGTGTAACTGATTATATTATTATTATATTATACACTTATTGATTATATTTGGAATAAATTGCCATGATATCCTGTTGCATGTATTACAGTGAAAAAGGTAAGGCCTTAAATACATTCAACCATCAAACTTAAGAATGTTTTTATTCATTAATTTACGAGTAAAATCTACACTAAATTTTCAGCCCTTGAAGCGTCATCTTCAGGTGTTCATTAAATACAGTTTCATTACTGACTTTGTAACATGTGACGCTAAATCACATCTACTAACTTCTCACGTGGTTTACATATACCTAATGTAACATATGAAGTGAGACAGACAACCTAATGATGTACATTCATACCTTATCTGTAGTTCTTATTAATACTGACTGCATTACAATTTAAATTGCATTGAGACTCGGATTACAAGTTTACCATTAAAAATAAAACTTAAAACTTAAAATAATTTATTGTTGTGAGCAGTGGATAGCTTCATGTCTCTACGTTGTAATAGACTGCGCTCATAAGGTGGTCTTCATATTGGCTTTTTCAATTTCATCTATTGTTATGCAGGAATGATTCATTTGCTGGTGTTACTATATACTGTGTTTATGTTCAGTTAATACAATGTTACTACATTCGGTGTCATGCTTTGCTGCAAATTTTGAGTCTTTTGAAAAGCACATATGATGATAACAGGTATTTAAATGAACAACAGATGCAGATAGACTCTCGTTCTAAATGGATCAGCAGCTGCAGATAATAGTGGCCCAATATTTCTAATGCTCTTACCTCGCTTCTGTTTCGGGGTTGTTGGGCATGCATTGCGGGTGCAAGCTGCACTTTTTCCATCAGCTGAACAGCGACATGTGTTGCAGTCCTGTCTGAAGACAGTACCAGGCTCACAGCTAATCTCTACAAGAAGAGAGATCTGCTTTTAATATTAACTTCATGGCATAAAACTTTTGTTGATGTGTGGTTCTCACAGCTGTAGGCACTGATACAAGATCTTCTGAAAAGAAGTTGGTCCCTACCTACCAAATTATACTGAGTCATGTCCCAGAATTCTAACATTATTATTATTTTTAATAACTATAACTATAATATTAATATACAATAATAATATATAATATTAATAACTAATCACTAAAGAATATTAAATAGTATTCTTGATCACCAGTTAAAAGCATAAGAAATATATACACTGGACCACTGGACCCTGTACTAAGGCTATTATCCTCTCAAGTATACACTGCTCTCCTAAGTGGTTTTCTCTAATGACTTATTTCAGCAAAAGTGTTCTGTACATTCCTTAAACCCCTTTTGTCCTACATGCAGGTACCTAGAGTCCATCTTCAAATATGTACATAAACATTCCTAGATGAGGAATACTGATTATGATGCAAGATGTATATAGTGACAATGGACTAATACTATCAAATATGACTGACAAATGACAGACCCAACCTCTCGTCAGAGAGGGCGCCCCACATGGACAGGACAGTAACTTTCATCTAAAAAGTAAGGTCATGAGCCCCAGCCGGAGCTCGACACCAAGACAGACAGACTGACTGACTGTCAATTGCAATGTGATTTTGACTTTGACTTAGATCAGTGCAGTGCAGTGTAGTTAAGAGTCCAGGAGAGTTTTTGGTTGAGTTCTGAGGTTCCAGGGCGACTGAACAAGAAATGGCAAGACGACATAATATGAAGTACTAGTTTCTGTGTTGAGATCCACTGCTAGGAGATGACTAGTGAAGATGCAGAATCCTAGTTCTTGTGCAATGGTAAACTGTAACTTGTGTAAATCAGCGATAGCATTGTACTGATTGTAATTAAGATATATTGTAACCGAAGTGATAATAAATCCAATCATCCGAACTAGAACCCGTTAATTTCTTGCTATACGTACAAACATGAAGAATACAATAGGGGGAGATTTATGGTTAATAAATAGTACAATAAAAGATATGAAGACATTAAAAAATTACACAACAATTTACATCTTTCTAGTTTCATAAATATGGTTATCAGCATGGAATATAAAACTTGTCAAAAACACTAAAATTACCATAAGACAGTTACAACAAAAACACGAAAACAACAAGGTAAAATATAGTTATAATATGCAGCATTCATATTGAGTGATACACATACAAACATGAAGAGTACAATGAGGGGGGGGGGATTTATGGTTAATAAATAGTATAATAAAAGATATGAAGACATTAAAAAATTTGCACAATTATATCTTTCTAGTTTCATAAATATGGTTATCAGCATGGAATATAAAATTTGTCAAAAACACATAAATTACCATAAGACAATTACAACAAAACACGAAATCAACAAGGTAAAATATAGTTAAAATATACAGCATTCATATTGAGTGACAGACATACAAACATGAGAAGCACAATAGTGGCAGTGCTTTATCATTAGTAAATAGTATAATAAAAGATACGAAGACATTAAGAAAACTGGACAACAATTTAAGTCTTTCTACTTATGTATGTGTCTACCTATGGAGTAATATATTGCAACAAGGTCATGGTACGAGAATTCTGCTCAGCAGGTATAAGTAATGTATTGCCTAATCCTATTCCCCATGTCTTTTAGCTATAAATCTCAACAATAATTAAGAAATTCATCACCTGAATAAAACAAATTATAATTATGATTTCTTTAAACTTTCCTGTGAAGTGGTTTTCATCTCCAACTGAGTCAACTAAAAATTTTGGCAAACTGCTAACAATTTTTACATTGACATAATGAACACCTTTTTGTCTTAATGACAGATGTGATTGTAATACATGAAGGTAGGCTCTATGCATTGTTAACTTATTATGAATGGCACAGGTAAAATGCTCTAAATTGTTTAGCATAAAAGTCATTAAAGATGGTATTTATTGCAAGGCCTATGTTTTTTTTTATTGCTAGTGGGGTTGGGCTAAGTCCCTTGTACTGCGGCCAATTGTGGCCTACTGTACCAGCCCCAGATGAGAGGTGAGGGTGATTGTGGAGCAACTGGTGGATTGAAGATTGGCAGGGGAAACCGAAGTACTCAGAGAAAACCTGACCCAGCACCACTTTGTCCACCACAAATCCCACTTGACCAGACCAAGGATCAGAAAGCCAGCGACTAACTGCTTGAGCTATGGCGCAGCCCAAGGCCTATGTTAATATATTTGATGTTTTAAATGCTGACCTGCATGTGCTTCTATGCTTTAGTCCCACCAGTATCCTTATAGTCTTCTTTTTTGCACAAGGGAAACTTTATAGCATCTGACAATTTACCCCAGAAAATTATTCCATAATATATAATTGAGTGGAAATATGCATGGTATATCATCCTGAGTGTTTCAGTATTACTACAATACTTCACATTCTTTATTGCAAAACATGCGTTGCCTAGTCAGTGTAACAGTAATTTCACAAGTGTTTTCCAATTCAAAAACTTATCCATTTCTGGCCCCAGAAATCTAATATTTGTTTCAACTTGCATTAATTCATCTTTCTAACTTAACTGAAATGGTGTGTTTTTCTATGTGGTTTCCTTTAAGTTTAGGGACAGGCCATTATTGGTAAATCAATAATTTAAGGTATTCAAAACTATGATAAGTTTTGACTGGATTTCATGCATGTTATTTCCAAATATTAGTACACTTGTATCATGTGCGTATAACGTTAATTTGACGTGTTTATTCCCAATGGCAAGTACATTCCCAATGTACGGTAAGAACAACAAGGGGCCCCCAGAATTGAGCCCTGAGGTACTCCATATTTTAGAGCTTCTCAATTTGAATGTATTTTTCCATTCTCTTTATGACATAACTCAACCTTTGTTTCCCATTTTTCAGTTAGGACTTGAACAACATTATTGTTTTACCAGAAATACCAAAGATAACTAATTTATCCAGGAGACTATCATGAATCACACGATCAAACTACATTTGTTAAGTCACAAAAAATGAATTCTTTTTTTAATAGCCCACTGGAACTTACTTTCTGGATAACATACGCATCTGATTAGGATTACTTATTCTGCTCTTTCCCAATTGAATCTGTGTCAGCTAAGCAAGAGTCAGGATATGTACTGACATTCACTCACAGCCATTTTGTTGACATGTACTGACTGGTGTCGAATTGAATAAGTACAGTGAACTGGAAAAGATCAGAGACGAGGAAGTCACTACTTTAGAGCATAACTGTAGGAGGTGATTACCTAGGTCTCTGTGATCAAATTTCCTAGGTCTCTGTGATCAAAACAGTTCATACAAACATGTGTCCGATTCTGGACGGTTACGGAGTTATGACCGTTTTTTCATTTCCATACACGCCGTCTTGTGAACCGCGTCTGTCAGCTGGGGGGTCGCTATTTTTAGCCAGCTACAGAGAGGGCGCTCTCGATATCTCGACACTTGAGAGGTACCTAAGGCGGGGAAGGTTGGTATGTCTGGCGCGGTTCACAACCGAGCAGCAGCCTGTGTTGCGGCCGGCGGTGGCATTTTCGAAAATCAGCTTTAAGTACCAATAAATTCAAATTAAAGGTAATTTCACAAAGTTAACTTTATATTCATACTTTAAATGTATCATGTATTATGCTGGTTTATTATTTTGTTCCTTTATTGTCAGTAATCGTTACCATCTATTCTGAGTTTAAAACGGTCATAACTCCATAACCGTCCAAAATCGGACACATGTTTATATGAACTTTTTAGATCACAAAGATCTAGGAAATCACCTCCTGCAGTTATGCCCTAAAGTCATGAAACACCCTGCATGTCAACGTACAATTAATCGTTTGTTTCAATGTGCGACTAAAGGGACAATAGAGCTTAATCATGGTAATGAATACCTCGGACAATGAACCTCTTGAAGACAAGTAAGCTATGTTATCATTGAGCCAAGCTATCAAGTACTAGCGAATAAAACACAATTACCTAACAGAAGACTGTCATAAATCTTAGCCTGCCTTCTTACTCAACATTTACAAGAAGCTTTGAAGTAGGAAAGTCGATCTCACACATAGACTCTACCTGATAAACGCTTCCTTGAGAGGAAACCAATATGCAAACGTCAATATCTCAGTCTCTCTAAGGAAAGACTAAAACATAGCTGAGATGAGAACCTGCATGACTACTGACAGCACGCTGCAGCAGAGGAAGGGGTGGCATCTGTCAGTGATGGCACCAGGCTGAGAGGCCTAATGTGACCAATTAATATTCAACAGACACTTCCACTCTTGCAAACTGTCTATGATAAGTTTTCAGGAGTACAAAATGCAGCTTCAAGAAGGATGTGCAGCCTCTATCTGTTGCATAGGTACCTCAAGAGGAGATGAAGACAGTAACAGTATCCTCGTGATAATAAAAGAATATGAAGGCCGGATTGCGTGGGTAATTTTAAGAAAACAGTGGTGGTTCTTTCAGCTTTTGCACAAAAAAGTCAAGAGAACAAATGAGAATTGTTATAGGCAACGGTAATAAAACATGAAGTTCTGGAAAGAACTGATCGCCTGTTTCCCTTGATACGACAAGACTTGCATAGAACACGACGCTTTCAACAATTCTCCGTTGTAGTGGGAATGTCTTGCTAGGCAACGAGAGAATAGTTCACTAAGCCTTTGTCTAGCAACGATAAGAGGGACACACACACACACACACACAGAANTTATTATTCTATCAACTATCTATCTTAATAGTGCAGCAGACCAAAATGAGACAATTTAAAATAAAGTAAAGCTATCCCTGTAACAAGCCGTGGAGGCCCATAGCGTTGTGAGATGTTGAGGCTCCCACATTTTCTGGACAATCGGCTCATAGATGGCAACAAGGTTGTCAGCCTTACTTGCCGGCCGCCCTTTACCTCCAAGAATATTCCAAGATCATTCCTGGTACTCATTTCTGTTAGAG